CGCAGGGACCGGGACCAGGTCCCGGTCCGGTTGGAATGGGCGGCCCGGGCACACCGACCGGCCTACCGCCCGGCGCATATCCAGGCAGCCATATGCCGGGCTATCCGCCGGGTCCGCCGCACGGCTCGCCGTTTGCGCCGCAAGATGGCCAGCCCCACGGATTGAAGCCCACTTCGCATATGGATGCCCTGAGGGCGCACGCCCACTCTGCCAACTCGGCGGGACTGGGTGGAGCGCATCATCCCACGGAGCCATGTAAGAGCACTACCCTTTTAAGCGAGTCACCATCTAATCTCTGTTTCTCCTCAGTGCCCATTGACATCGAGCCGGATCCAGAGCCGGAGATTCCCAGTCCCACGCACAACATACCCCGAGGTCCCAGCCCCGAAGCGAAACCGGATGACACCGAATGCCATCGCTCCCAGTCTGCCATGTAAGCTAAGAATCTTAAATGTAGTACTTAAGAACCAAACCTAACTTTGTAATCTTCTCCAGATTTGTGCGGCACATCGATCGCGGGGACTACAATTCGTGCACGAGGACGGATCTGATCTTCAAGCCAGTGGCCGACTCCAAGTTGGCGCGCAAGCGCGAGGAGCGTGACCGCAAGCTGGCCGAGAAGGAGCGAGAGAGGCGTCAGGTAAGTGTCCAGAACCATGACCATTCTAATGGGAAACTAATGACGTCTCTTGTCACAGCAGCAGCAGCAACAACAACAACAGCAGCAGCAACAACAGGCAGCAGCTGCCCAGCAGGCGGCCCAACAGGCCAAGCTGAAGGCGGAACTGAAGCCACCATATGCCGACACCCCCGCCCTGCGCCAGCTATCGGAGTACGCTCGTCCCCACGTCGCCTTCAGGTGAGTCTCGAGGACTAACTGGTCCTCGGCCAGGTGTTAGGAATCTTATCCAGAAAGAATGTCTTGTTTCGGGTTTCAAATCGATTCAATTTCATTTTCAGTCCTGTTGAACAGATGGTGCCATATCATCATCCAATGGGCCCCATGTACAGAGAGAGGTATAGTACCAACAACACCCCAGCCAGAGTCTCATTTCCCGCTTGTACTTCATCATCAAAGTCATTTAAACCCGCACTCGATCGCACTGACACTTCATCCCATTTGAACTCCCTAATCCGAGCCCTAATCCCTCAGCTTTTCTCGCCAATTCGATCTTTTTTTTTTTGTCGCACGTCGAAATTCACGCCTAACTTACTTATCATTTGCCCAGATGACCCCTCGCAGCCATGAAACACATAAAACACTCCATTCCAGACCTACTCCAGACCTGAAATCTAATTATTTTTAAACCTTACAGAGAGCTGGAGGAAATCAAAAACGCACAAGCCGCTGCGGCAAGTCAATCCCGACTAGATCCGCACTGGATGGAGTACTATCGACGGTATATTTAAATCCCTTTCCTTAATCCTAATGAATTCTTATTAATATTGTTTACTATTCTTATCCTTTTAGGGGCATTCATCCGTCACAGTTCCCGCTGTACGCGAATCCAGCGATATCGCAGATGGAGAGAGAGCGCCTGGGAATTCCGCCGCCGCACCACGTCGGGTTAGACCCGGGCGAGCACATGGTGCGTATGGTAGGCTACAAATCTTTTTTATTCCACTCGACTCATATTCACTTCAATCAATCGTATTTGGAACGTGTGAACCGATCGCATAGCTCGATCGTACCGCCAACCGAAACCGAAACCAACTCACTATGTCCACTTGTCAGCTCACCCACCACCTGTTAACCACAGTGTCCAGTTACCCATAAACATTAGCCCAAAAAAAAAAAATAAAATTAAAAGCACGTATCTTAATGTCATGCCGTTCATTATAATGTTGTATATGTGCTAACCATTATATCAATTATGCCATGCTTTGTTTTGCTCTTGATCCCTGATCGAGCACCTAACCCAGAATCAGGATCGACATACATACATGTCACCCAACAACAACCACCATCTATTATATTTCTAACCACCGCTCGCATTTCGCATAAAAAGATAACGTTCGTTGTGTAACGCAGCACTGGCTCTTTTGAAACTTTCTACGATATTCGATAATTTTCAGATACGATTGACGAGAGAATATCATGCACACTCTCATACTCATTTACATTTGCCTTTGCATCCACAGCCGCAACCACCGGAGGCCGGTTTCCAACTGCCACGTGAGTTTGTATACCCCTTGAGGTTTACGTTATAAATGCCAATTTCTAAAAATTCTGATAAAATTTTAATCCCTTAATCTTGTTTTTATATTAATAATAGCGAATGTTGGTCAATATCCTCGGCCAAATATGCTTATACCTAGGGAGCCGCATTCGGATGTCCTGCTACGCATGTCCTATGCCGACCAACTACAGGTTTCCCAATTCCCTTATCAATATCCTAACTCATTAATTACATATATACAGTATTTACAGGCCGCCGAATTCCAGCGACAGTCCCTGCACGATCAGTACTTCAGGTGGGTTCTTTAAACTTGATTTAAGATCTTAAAAAGTTAAATTCATAAATTCCATTTAATATTTTATAATTAATCACTGTTTGGTGTGTTTATTTTGGATTTTTATTAAATCATATTTGTGTTTTGGTTTCCGTTTGATCATCGCCTCTATACTTTTTCCATCCCCACAGACAACGGCCTAGATAAGTGGACAGACAGCAATTGTAGAGAGCAAGCAACTGAACAAAGACAATACTCGGGCCGTGGCCGTGAGGAGGTGCTTTGTGTGATTTTTGTGTTCAAGCGTTTACACTTTGTTTTCCACACACACATCCAAAAAAAACCACCATCATCCTTAAAACATCCATCATCCATTTCAAAATCATCATCATCATTATCGGAAGAGACGACGTCAGTGAATGGCTTAAGAATCCAGAAACAGAAATCAAGCGACTATAAGTTGCGCAACGCCTTGTCACCTTTTTATGTAAAATGTTAGTAAAATTTGTTTCCTAATTTTTATCTCATCATCGCTCTTGATTTTTATGTTTTTTTTTTAAGGTAATAAATCCCCAACTAATTGTTATTCTTTATTTTAAACAGAAATCAGCTGCGTTAATCGAAGGTGGATGGAAACTTACGACCAAGGCATTCAGAATCAAAAACTACAAAACTAGACAAAACAAAAAAGTACATGATGGTCGCAATAATTTAAGTATCCTCTTTATAGTGTATAGTGTTAAAATGTAAAAGCTAAGGGCGATGAGTATAGGGTTAGGCATCTGAACAAAAAAAAAATGAAAACACTCTTGGCACACAGACACTAATTTTTATTGAGTTTTTCCAAACTGCAAACGCATATAGATAAAGATATTAAATGTGTGAATGTGTGCTGAGCTTGAAGGACATGAAAAGGACACACTATGTTTTAAGAAGAAGCTCTGCAAATCAATTTAGACAAGATGAGAATACTAAGCAAAACCAAAACACAAAACACTCACCCGCACTTGCTGCAGGAGGCAAGGCAAAATATATATGAAATTTAGAATAGAACAAAAACAAAAAATAAGAAGAAAATAAATCTACAAATTATTAGGGATAGTATGGATGCCGGCATATAGATGTATGTATATTGGAGTGCATTGTACAAACGGAGAATGCGACACTCTACCCGTAGATAAGGATTATTTAATTTAATTGTACTTCCAGCCAGAATTGAACTATTTAACGACTAATCATGCTTGCTGCTTAACTTACGATGTCTTAGCCAATATGAAGATCACGCAAATGCCTAGATTTCGCTTCTTAGTCGCCCCCCCTAATAGTTTGTGTTTGCCTAGCGAGCTTTGCTTACTTACCCCCTAATTGCTACTCATTAATTTATTATTATTTTGCTATGACTAGAGTATTATCTGTAGGCGAGGCAGGACGAAGCGAAGGCGTTTTTGTATAAAGTTCATAATAAAATAACGAAATAACTAAATGGGTATTATGATGAGAATAATTTAATGCTGCTCCCAAGCCCGAGACGAGCACATCATAGTGCCGAGCATGCATTTCAGGCAGCTGCAATTTCGAGTGCTTAATTTATATTAATAATTATGAAATTAATTAAACGCAAAAGCATGAATTATATACATCAAATATTTCAAAAAAAAAGGTTTATATAAAATATAAGAACAAGGGCAAACAAAAAACAAAATCAACAACAAAAAAAAATGGAACATATTTTTAAATACAGTTTTTTATTTCACATTTTGACTATACACATTGATATAAATATATTGTAGCTATATTTATATATATATATATATATTATAACGAAAGTTTATCGTAGGACTCTTGCAAGCATATTCAATGGCACACAAAAAATAAATAATATTAAAAGAAAAGAACAAAAAAATGAAAGATTTTGCGTAGTTAACATTTAAGATTGTAAAGTGAAGATCCACACATATTTATATATATATACAAAGGAAAAAGAAACACACACAAATGCAGCTATATTATTGCAGCTATTATACTATATATTAATTATAAAATAAAAACAAAACCATACACACAAAAGATAAATTATTGAAACCTGTAAAAACTAAGTAAAACAAAATAAAATTAGTTACATTAGTTACCAAATCATCCCCCCCGACTATCTTTAGGGGGTAATTATACTTTTTCAACAAAGGTAATTATGTTTTCGAATGCTTGAATAAAGAATAACATTTGAAACTTATCGTAGTAGTAATTAATATTTAAATATTTAAAGAGTTTAATTTCAAATAAGGTTACCGGCCGAGTTTTAATTTTTTTGAAAATTTCAAGGAAGAGGAAGTTAAGAACTTTCCAACTTTCAAAAATAAACCCCCTTTTCGAATCTAAATCAGTCAAAATAATCAGGTTTCTTTTTTTAAATATTTATTATAATATTTATTTTTAGTCTTATGTGCCTAGTAATTTCATCAAGTCTATTAGAATAGTGTTATCTTAAACTAAATATTTTTTTAAATATTTATTTTTATAAATAATTGAGTAAATTTTAATCAGTGGCTTGGGTTTTAAAGACAGTAGTAGTATTATACCTATGAAATGCACAAAATAATAAATTAATTAATAATATTAAGTATTAGACAAGTCGAGCGGAGGAGCAAGTGGCCCCCGATGAGGCACTCTGGGGCTCGGCTTCCGTCAGACTGACTGCTCCGCCACTGGTGGCACTGGCCAGAATCCTTTTGTAGTTGCTGCTGCACTGCGAGTCCGCCACGGAACGCCCATCGCCCTCATCCCGGCGACAAAGATCCACGGCGAATGGGGCTCCCGTCTCCAGGCGGCGCTCTAGGATGTCGGCTGTGGTCAGTTCGCTGGCCCGGACTAAGCTGCTGGCAGGCACATTACTTAGCCAGGGCTTGAGGGTGCTCTTCTTTTGGATGGTGGCCGCCTTGCAGCGGCAGATCACATCCGCGTGCTCCCCACAGATGGGACAGGTGGCTTCTACAGCTGGAGGGGATACTTCTACTTCGTTACCAGCTCCACCAACCACCGTGGGCATGGTGGCGCCGGACGAGCTGCCGCTCAGTTCCAGTTCACTCACAGCATCCGCCAGGGACTTGTTTTCACCCATGCCGACCACCACCTCCTGCTCCTCGTAGTTGGGGCTGAGCAGCAGCTTCGAGAGCGGCGGTGCCAGACCCAATCCCAGATTGCGCTCGTGGTAGAGCTCCGATATGCTGGGCGTCAGTTCGCGGTTCATGTGGCGCATCATGCTCTCCTGCAAGCACTTGGAACTCGACTTGGAGTTCGTTGCCGGAGCCTGCTCCTCGGGCTTGGGTTCGTTAAGCAGATCAGCATCGGATTGGGAGAAGTACAGGCTTGATGGATTGAAGACCACATTGGAGACCTCCTCCTCCTCCGGCAGGGCCAAGGGTTTTCTAACTCCCGCTCCGGAGTTGCTGCCTCCGGCCGGAGCACTCAGCTCAGTCCTAACGCTCAGGCGATCCATGAAGAGTGCGTGCTCTTTGTTCACCCTGGCCGCCAAGGTGCTCTGGGCACTGCCCAGCTTGATCTTCGGCTTGGTTCTGCCGCCTACCATGTTGTGGTAGGTTGGAGGACGTGGCGGCGGCAGCGGTGGCTGCTGCTGTGGCATGGCTACACTGCCACCGCGTCGCAGAACCGTGGCGTGACCCGATCCCTCCCAATCGGTTGTGCTGCTGGCCGAGCTGGAGCTATCAGGGCGTCTGTTGGAGGGCGGAGCAGTGGGTGCCATCGAGCTGGTCTGGGAGTAGAGGCTTCTGATGCGGGTCTGGTGAGCCAAAGCCAGAGACAAGCTAGGATCAGTTACGGGTGGACTAGGCGTGAAAGCAGCATCGCTTTCCCCACCGCCTCCGGGACGTGAAACCCTCACCGGGGCACGCATGCTGGCATAACCCAGTCGGGGATTGGAGAGCCCACCTGCCGACTGGGTGGCGTAGCCATCGGAGAGAGAGTGCTCGCTATCTGTGGTGTTGGCCAGGCTAGAGTCCAAGCCGGTGACTCCACCACCTCCTGTGACCTCCGTGCGACCGCCATCTGGTTCTCCACGTCGTCGCACGTAGGATATAAAGGCACTGCGTGGATGCAGGGGTAGTGGTGCCTTCGTGGCTCCATTCACAGAGGGAGTACTACTAGCAGCAGGCGGAATCGGAGGAGCATCCAGTTCCGGTTCGGCCAAAGACTCGCAGCTGCTGCTGTGAGCCGAGTCTGGATCCATTCCCACATTTTTAGGAGCCTCCCGAGTGTCTATAATAAAGAAATCCTCGTTAGAAACACATCCAATTCTTGGATCCTTCCAAAACTTACCAAACAAAGCATGAAGGGCTTGGAGCACAAACTGGCAGTGACGGCGGTTGGCTTGTTTTCCCGTGCGGAGGATCACCTGGTCAGAGCCCACTTCCGTCAGATCGAAGCCAACGGAAGCGAGCAGCTCATGGCACCCGGCTACTCTCCAAAGACGCACACTCAACGGCATCTCAATGAAGCAAGTCTCGGCGATGACATCGGTTTTGGCGCCAGGATTGGACGGGGTGCTCGGAAACTGAGCCAGGATGTTGCGCATGACGGCGATGATGTCCTCCGCGTGCTCGGCGCTGTTAACGTGAACCAACTTGGCCAGAGCCTGTAGAGTGGCAGGAGTCAGGGCGAGCAGAGCCTGCAGGCTGGAAGAGCACTGTGCCAGTCGCTCCTCTGGGTCCGCTTGCGGGAAGAACACGCTGGAGGGGATGCCATTGGCGGCGGGTTCGATCCGAAAACCAACGGCCATCAGAAGATCCTTCCAACCGGCCACCGGTCCAGCCTTATTCTCGATACTCTGCTGAGTGGTATACATGGCGTTCTTCTGTCCACGATGGATCCGCTGCAGGCTCTTCTCAACCAGATGCAGGCAGACGCGGAGGGCATCCCGGCTCCGTTCTGGGGTTCTCAGAAGCTCGCAAAGAGCATGGCCCAGCGCCACCTTGTTGGAGAGGCGCACGTTGCTGCCGACTAGCAGGAATCCGGCCCAATTGGCCGGATGGGCAAAGTGCTTGGTGTGCTGAACGGTCTGCATGGCTTCCGCCAGGGCCCTGGAATGGATAAAGTTATGGTTCAGGTCTTCAATCTTCTAAAGAAGCTCTTGATGTACTTACCGTGCTGCCCGAGCTCCTTGCAAAAGAGCCGAGTAGAAGGCACGCAGCAGGATCTTGGCCGCAGTCTCCGGAACAGGCCACAGTGAGATGAGGACAGCTCCAGCTCCGGCCATTAGCCAACCGGCTGCCAATTGGGCCACTCCCGTTCCTGTTATTGGTTCCACGGAGTGGTATGAGCTCAGAACCACCAAACGGGCGCTGAGACGCAACTGACGCAGTTCTCCGGCGGAGAGGGTGAAGTCCGCCAACTGTGGTTCCAGTGGCTCCTTTTGCTGTTGCTGGTCGGCCGTCACCACATCGCCAGGACTGAGGACCACAGCACCCAGTTGCCAACTGAGATTGGCTGCAAAGTGGACACACTCTGCGGAGGGTAACTCGGCCAAAACGGACTCCTTGGTGGCATTGGATCCTGCCAACGCGGTGGCTTGCAACATATCCGCTACCATGGCGGCTTCCTGCAAGGCGGCTGGGGACTCAGCAGCAGCCCAGCCCCATCTCTCCGCCAGGGAACTTGGCACACGAGGTCCACCCACCACCAAAGCTGTAGGAGGACGGGCACGATCCCGACGAAGTTTAGGACGGTTTCTCAGGGATTGCAGGGAAGGAGCTGTCAGGATGGCACATCGCTCGGAGAGGTACTCCCCATCTTCCTTGGCTGCTCGGAGAATGGCAAAGGGTACCAGGTAGAGCGAGCTATCCAAGACCAGGATAAGCTCCCTTCTGCCCTGGCGATTGCCAGATCCAGATCCGCAGGGCAGAAGATCATCAAAGGGAGCAAGTAGAAGGTTGTAGAGGGTGTGCAGACATGTAGGTCCTCGCCAGGTGGGCAGTGTTCTCTCTGGAGCTCGGCGAGAGCTGCGGCTGCTTAAGGAGCGGGTGGATCCTTGAAGACTGGCCACCGAGCCTCCAACGGAGCCCACAGAGAACAGGGAGCTCAGCGAGTAGTTGGAGGAGTTCATCAAGTGGTTCCGGCTCACCATGCGCATGAAACCACCACCACTTCCGGCACCTCCAGCTCCAGGAAGATCCTCCAGCAGCTGCTCCGTACTGGCGCGCCATCCACTTCCGTCACCCTCTTGGAGGAGACTCTGGGAGTTCACGCCGAGATTATCCCGGACCATGTTGATGTACCGGTCAAGGAGGCCGTCAGATTTTTCCTCCTCCTCCTGCTCCCGCGTCAGTTCTTCCTCCAGCTCCTCCTCCTCTTCGTCCAGAGAGAGAGGCAACTGCAGGGTCTGGGCATCGATACGGGCGGAGTGGAAACGCACAATACCCGTCTGTGGCTGTAGCAGCCAAGCGAAGAGCTGCTCTCCGGCAAGACTATAATAAAGTACGGGCATCCGTCCACGATTAACCACCTCCTGGATGGCCTCGCTATCCGCCAATTGAGTTTTTCCGTTCTCTCCGGTCAAGGATTCAGCTCCTCCGCGGGCTTTACACCTTTCGGCGGCCACCAGGGCGTCCTCGTTGCGGTTCAAGGCTACCAGAAGCTGTTGGAGAAGATGGTAGCAACTAGTTTGCAGATCGTACAAGGCCACTCGGGTCTCTGGACTGCGCTGCTCCTGACGCACTGACTCCAAAAGTTGGGCAGCCGTCTCCAGTTGCAGGCGAGCTCCCTCGGCATCGCCAGAGGAGCGAAGAGCAAGACCTGGATAGGGGGAGATTGGGATTAGGATCATTAATCATTTGTATGGTGTAAGGTTACTCACCTAATTGATGTCTTATCTTGGCCTCCTCCTCTGACTTTCCCATGGATTGAGCGCTCGCCAGTCCCTGTCGCAGGTACTCCACAGCCTGGGAGTGCTGCTCCAGCTGGTGGTGGACTCGTCCCAAAGCCAAACATGCCATTGCCTTGGCAAGGCGGTCCGAGCTGAGCTCCAGCTGGCGCTCGTAGCACTTAAGGGCTTCCGCCTGCTGGCCCAGTGCCTCGTGGACGGATCCAAGATTACTCAAAGCCCTAGCCTGCAGGGCAGGAGCAGCCAGCTCTGTGCAGATCTCCCAATCCTGCTGGTGCAGCTCCAGGGCCTCCGAGTGCTGACCCATCCGCTGCTGGACTTGACCCAGCGCACACATAGCATCCGATTCCAGGGCGCGATCCTGAAGTCCCTGCGCGAGTTCTCGCTGGTGTTCTAGGCAGTTCAGTGCCTGGGCATGATTTCCCAAAGCGGCGTGGACATGTCCAAGGTCTCCGTAGGCTAGAGCCTTTATCTCGGCACTGTGCAGTTCGTGGGCCACCACCAGACGCTTTTCGAGGCAAACCAGAGCCGCGGCAAGCTGTCCCAGCGAACGGCGCGCCTGACCTAATCCTCGATAGGCCCGCTCCTGATCCCGGTGGCTGGCCAGGCCCAAGGCAAGCTGCAGCTGTCTCTCATGGCATTTGATGGCTTCTTCGTAGTCCCCCAGAGCAGCATAGCAGTCGCCCAGGTGACCCAGAGCTCTCGATCGATCCGATTGAGTGGATGGTAAGGAAACCCGCTCCAGAGTTCCCAGCTGTGCCTCCAGGCAACCGATGGCCGCCTCGTAGTGCGCCATATTGAGGCGGGCTATTCCAAGGTTGCCATGAGCCTGAGCCTCGACTGCAGCATCTCTTTGCTCCTGGGCTCGCTCCAGCTGCTCCTGGTAGCACTTCACTGCATTTGTCCAGCTGCATAGGGCCATGTGCACGGCGCCCAAGTGTCCATGGGCACGACACTCTCCAGTTAGGTCGCCCAGCTCCTGGCGAAGTGTCAGCTCCTGGGTGTGGTGGCCCAGAGCCTTGTCCCAGCGCCGCATCAGGCGGTGAGCCAATCCCAGAGCTCCACAGGCCGCGGCCTCCATAGAGCGATCTCCTGCAGCCCGCGCCAGAGCCAACTGCCGTTGGTAGAGTTTAATGGCCTCCTGGAAAGAGTTTTTAAGGGATTAGTAATAAGAACTAAATCGCATCCTCAGTATCCTAGTTACCTCATGGGATCCTGTGCGTATTAGGATGTCCCCAATGTTTCCCAAAGCCCGGAACTTGGCCGGAAGCTGATTGGTGGCATGGGCCACCGCCAGGAACAACTGCTGGCACTCCAGAGCGGCGGCAGTGTGTCCCAGGGCCAGATGGGCCAAACCCAGATTGCAGTAAGCTCTTCCCATGTTTGGTCGGTGCTGGGCATCCTTGGCGAGAGCAAGATCCTGATCGTAGTACCTCACTGCTGCCCGATAGTTCCCCAAACAAAAGTGGGCATAGCCGAGCAGATGACACGCCTTGCCCTCGGCTGTCACATCGCCCAGCTCCTGGGCCAGCATCAGATAGCTCTCGTAGTGGGGCACCGCCTCCTCGTACTCCTGCCGCCCACTCAGGCAGTTTCCCAAGTTCAGCAGGGCGCACGCCTCGCCTGCCGTGTCCTTGAGCGACCTGGCAGTGGCCAAGTGAGCACGGTAATGTGTCAGAGCGGCATCATGGGCTCCCAGGGCCTGGTAAGCCACCGCCAGGTTGCCGTGAGTGGCTGCCTCGGCACTCCGGTCGTTCATTGCCTGGTTTATGGCCAGCTCCTGTTTGTGGTACTTCACCGCCGCCTCGTAGGATCCGGCCATGTGCGCCATCCTGGCCATATTTCCGTAGGCCCTTCCCATGCCCACCCGATCGCCGAGAGAACGGGCTATACCCAAGTGGGCTTGGTGCAGCTTTAGAGCAGCATCGTGGGAGCCCAGCATCTGGTAGACAATGCCCAGGTTGGAGCACGCCCTGCCCTCGCCCAGCTTGTCGCGGGCAGCCAGTGCCATGGCCAGTTGCCGTTCGTGGAATCTCTTCGAGGCACTGGCATCCCCGGCACAGCGAGCCGCATGTCCCAGACCTGCATAGGCAGCCGCCTCCATGGATCGATCTCCCAGGGCCTGAGCTATTCGCAGGACTTGCTCGTGACAGGCCGCCGCCTGCGTGAACTGGCGGCGCTGGTGATGGGCAGATCCTAGATTCGAGTACGCTCTGGCCTCCTCCACTTGGTCGTGGAGCTTCCTGGCCAATCTCAAGTGCTGGGAGTGGCAATCCAAAGCGGCATCACATTCACCCAGTGCCAAGTAGACGGCTCCCACATTGCCAATCTCCCGGGCCTCTTGCAGGCGATCTCCTAGCTGCTTGAAGAGCTGCACACACTGCTTGTGGGAGGCCAGGGCGTTGGGGTAGTCTCCGCTGGCAGTGTAAACGTGTCCCAGGGAGGTTAGAGCTGCGGCCGCCGCTTGCGTGTCCTTGCACTTCATGGCCAGGACCAGTTGGTAGCGGTGCGCGGTGAGTGCCTCCTTATGGGCACCCTGACTAAAGTAGGCGGATCCTAGGTTGCCATGTGCCCGGCATTCCCCAGCAGTATCACCCAAGGACTTGGCCACCGCAAGGTCCTGCTGCATGTAGCCAATGGCCTGATCCAGCTGATTCAACGCCCAGTGGGCGGAACTCAAGGCACTGAAGACGGAGCCACGCAACTTTAACGAACAACTGCCGATCCTCAGGGCCGCCTCCAGGACAGAGACAGCAGCGGGGTACTGGGCGGCCTGGAGCAGCTCCTGTCCTACCACCGAGCTGACCACAAAGGGCGACTCCTGCAGCTGCATGGTGCGGAGTTGCTGGAGCGTGGGTTCCAGTGCCTGCCGCAAAGGACTCTTAAGAGACGCCTCCACCAGACCGCCCATCAGTTGTTTGTTCGTTGGCTCCTGGGCTAGGCCGGAGGCAAAGGATGCCAGTGCCTCCCCATAGCGTCCTAGACACTGGAGGGCTACTCCCTGGCGGAAGTAGGCCTTGGGCCACTGCGGACACAGATCTCGCGCCTGCGTGGCATCCTGCAGGGCGGCTGTGAATTGTCCCTGTTTGAGCAGGGCAGCGGAGCGATTGCTGTAGAGGATGTGGTTCCCGGGATCCAGCTGGAGGGCATCCGTATAGAGCAGTACCGCTGTGGCAAAGTCCCCGCTTTGGCAGGCCGCGTTCGATTGGCGGACCTTCTCCAGAAAGAGGGCGCGATTGGCGGCGGGAAGCTCCGGGTTGCATTCCGGTTCGTTCTGGAAAAGATAAGAGGATATAGAGAGCTATATTAAAGAGCGGAATAAAGAATAGTGTCTTTAATTTTAAGGCTAGTATTTCTCTCTGTGCAATCGATTAGAGTTAGCCATGATTAGGGCCAAATTGCAGGGGCATATAGTATGTATAGAATCCGAAATTGCCATGGATTAAGTAGAGCAATAAACACAACTGTACTGAGAGGCTCCTGGCAGGCAGGCAGTTCTGGGGAGGATGGGATATATGCAGAAGGAGCCAGAGCTAAGCCCAGAGTTGGAATGATTGCACATCTGCCGCTGTTATTTGGAAATACAGTGGGCCAATATAGTGGTATTATAAAAGTGGGCAGTAAAAAATGTAATAATAATAAAAATTATAAATAATGGAAAATTAGCTTTATAAAATAAATCCCTTGAGAGGTTTTTCATATTTCATCCATAGCTTGAAATATTTTTATAGAAAGCCCCACTGTACTCTCGTCACTGGGTTGTAATTATGTTAAATGCCGACGCACCAGCTCCAACTCATGTCAGATCAACTTGGCTCAAAGATCTCTTGGCTTAGCCCTCGGAGCTCAGGTATGCGGCCACCGAGTCACGTTTCCCGGCCAACTGCTGTTCGCAGTTTCCCTGCTCCCGGGCTCCCAGCAGCAGCTCGTAGCAGCTCCCAGCAGATGCCGCGTTCTTTCCGCGATTCTCTTCATCAAATGCGGAAGCAATTCCACGAATTCGTGGCCCAAGAACTAAGCCACGACTGGTGGGGCGAAGAGAATCAGCAGTAGCCACCACACAGTGCTATGCCAGAAGTCAAAAGTGTTGAGGCCTTTTTTGGCATCAACAGCGAGGACAAAGACGAGGACATGGACGTGAACGTGGACATGGACGAGGACCAAGACCAAGACCAAGACGCGGACGAGGACGAGACCGTGACAACGACGTGGAAATTTTTACATATTTTTTGAAGCAATTAAATGCAATGAGTATGCAAATGCATTAAGCCTTGGCCCAAACATACCTCTACCTACTACCACTTCCTAGAAAACGTGGCCAGCAAGTGCTGCTGCTGTGCTGTTTCTGTTTCTGTTGTTTTTCCGTCTTATTGCGGGGCGTGAGCCACGGATAACGTGCTTAGATTGGCTCAAGTGAATAAATCAGCTTGCAACAAAGTATCTGACAGATGCAGAACGCAATTTTCGTTTTAATGCAGCTTATAAAAGCCGGCCCGGGAAGATAGGGCCCCCAAATGAAGAGGGCGTTACCTAAAAAAAAAAAAAAAAAAAAAAAACATACAGCCACCAAGGCAATAAAAAAAGAGAAATAAAATAAAAAGATAATGGAAAAAGAGGAGAAAACTAAATCCATGGCCCAAGAAGAGAGCGTTGGCGGTGCTAGCCAAAGTAGATCTGGCCAGGAAGATTGCGGTGATGTTGCCAATGGTCAAAGTCAAATAAACACGCACAGAGGAACATGCCCCTCGAAATGGCCCAAACGAAGTTCTCCATCGGAATCCAGACGGAATGGCATTAGCAGATGTTATCAGGCCTTGGCCAAAAAAATAATAATAATAATAATACCAGGCAGTCAGGCAGAGCTAGTCGATCTCTCAGGATAAAGTCAAAGCTTTAAAAGAGTCTAACCATGATATAGTTTCTATCGTATACTCTTTTATATTAATTCCCATAAAGCTTAACTATAAAAATCATTAGATTAATCATAAAACTTTAACCAACTTTTATTGCCTCGTAATTTACAATTTTGGAGCTCCCATAAAGTTTATTTCCCTTTCTTTATTTTTATTTCAAAAGCTGTTATCGGAAAACACAATTATTTAAAGTGTTAACAGTACAATCTAAACCATTTTCAAGGCATTTAAAAAAAAAATCGAAAATTGTTTATGTTGTCATTAATTTTAATCGATTTACTGAAAATATATTTTTCCCATTCCTTCAACAGCTTCATTGGAGATTTCATTTCAAGCGTTAATAACAAGATTATGGGATTTGAGAAGCATTTCTATTTTATTTGTTTCCTCTAATTAACTGTTTCCTTTCCATTCAAGAGGCGGGAAAATTGTAGAAGAAACTCTTCTTCGATTTTCTTCGCCCATTTTCTGCCCTTTCGCTCCGCGTTCCTTTCCGGTTCTGGATGGGGACTTGGAGATGCTGGGGATGTTGTACGTCAATTTAGGAATTGGCGCCCAAATGGCACATAGAGGAGTCATGTAAAATGATACGCTAGCTATCCCTCTTCAGCGATTCCAGCTAAATTGGCAGTCACAGCTACGAAAGGCAGAAGCTTCAGGGCCAGGAGCCACATCATCGCCACAAAGACACTGCCAGAAATAAATCTCTTTGGAAAGATTTTAAATAACTTTTGATGTCTAAAATATGTAGCACCCATTTAATTATTATTTGTAATATTTAAAAACTTTATTAAGTATTTTTTTTTACAGTGCTGTAGCATTTTAGAAAATAGTCAAAGACTGGCAAGAATTTTATGCAACGAGAAAGGGAGAAAAAGAGGTGAGAGCCAGCGTAGAGAGATATGCCTTAGTATGGGGCCAAGGGGAATGGGAAAGGAAGTTGGGGCTGTGGCAGAGGTATTCAGGAATGTAAAAGAAAAACCTGCGATTCGAGAACTGGTCGCCGTTTGTTGGCTGTCCGCCCAACAGACCAAGAGCACAAGAAAAAAAAAATGGCAAGAAACCGCGCAGAGTACTCGGAAGACAAAAAGTGGCACCCATAGATGCACTCGGGCAGCAGTTGTTGCCTCAAACCAAACGGGGGAGACTCTCTATATATGTTTATTGTTTATATGTGTGTGTTAGCCAGCATACTTCTGTGTGTGTGTATGTTGATGTGGTGGCTGTGAGAGGCCCCAGAGGCTGGACGGAGATTCGATAAAGTCCGCCGCATTGGAATGCGAACAATTTCACGATTGCTTGTGGCGCACATTGGCATGTTTTGCGCTCAACTTGAGAATTTTGTTGCAATTTAACGCGTAATAAAATAATTAGCTGCGGGCCCAGGACACTACTCCCCTTAACTCCTCAGCTCCTGGACTTCTAAGCTACAAATCCTTGTATAATAAAGTCAAGAATAGTGAGACATTTGGTAACAATTGCATGCTATATTCTAATATGGAAATGAAATAATATTCCTTTTATGTTTCCAGTCTATAATTAACATTTGTGATTTATTCAAACCCGTCATTAGTCTGGAATTTATGTACTCTTTTGGCTGCTGTTTATTATTTTTTTTTAAAGCTCCAAACTTATATTTTATAAACATGATCTCCAGTTGGCAGTCAAATGCGGAAACAATATATATTTTCATGAACAAGCATCAAAGTTGTTGCCTGAAACTGATACTATCAGACAGGGAATTAAAATTGAATCTTAAAATTGAAAACTATTTATTTCAAGTGTGCTTGGCCGGAATGGCCGGATACTTCCTATCGTCTGTCTAGCTGCCAAAGGGACACTCGAAACGCGGCAGTCAGTCAGTCAGTCAGTCAGCGAGACAGGCCGCAGGGGTCTGGGGCTTGCGATTCCAAATTCTGGCCTGGTCCGTCCCAGAGACAGGGTCTCTGAAACTTATCCAACATCGTTGACGTTGTCGTCTGTTGACTGGAGTCGAGTTTTTTTTTGTTTTTCCTCTTGTCCATGACATGACAGCGCGGAATATGATGAAAGGGCCAAACCCAGGCCCAGGCCGAGGCCCAGGGTCAGGAGTACCATATCCACTAGCTAAGCCACTCCATGAGATTTTGCGTTTTGGCATTTTTATCTCTTCGCTCTGTTGGGCTTTTGTTTAATTTGGCTCTTGTAGCTTAGCCCTTTTGTAGTCCCGCCGCTGAGTTAATCAACATTGAAATCATTTTGCCATCATTTTGATTATTGCCCCTGATTGTTTCTTTCCTGTTTTTATTTTTTGTCTGTATTTAGTTGTTATGTCTTTCTGAAGTTTTTATTTATAACTATTTTTTTGGTAGCGTAATGGATGATTAAGTTTTTATGTACAATATTTGAAGGCCATAAATAATTGTCATGGTATTTGATCTGCAAACTGGAAATTCATGTTCGCCTTTGATGGGGAGGCAGCTTCCAAAACCCAATAATTGAACAATAATTCGATATCCATTTGCCTTTCAAACTTACCTCGGAGAAATCCCGCTGCGACATCTTGTTCAGCAGCTGATCCCCAGCTACGGAAATTTTATCATTGTTCTCATTATTTGCATTAAAGTTTAATGGCAAATTTATAAGATTCTCATAATTCGTCATTTGTGTGCCAGCTTAGGATCATTAGGGCGTCTTCGTCTGCTGGAAAAGAAAGAGAAAACCGGAGACGATTATGTTTGTTTATTTATAGAGCAGGGCAGGAAAACAAAAGCTGAAGCCACTGACAATAAGACTTTCAAATGCCAATGAATTCCAAGGAACATGCACTGAAAACTAAGAAGTAATACTTAAAATTAAGTTAAAGACATTATTTCATACAAACTTCAACCATAAAACCATACAATTCTAGTCAATTCTTTCCATTTTTGTAAAATTATTTAATTTTTCTCTCCGTGTATAAGGAACCAACAACGCCTCTTATGCAAATATTGGCCGATCCTCAGCCTCAGTCACATAAACTTGACAATTGAATGTGGCCATAAATTTGTGCGATCCACTGAGCCCCTCATGCTCCCTTTTTTCCTATCCTATTATTTTCTGTATTTATTCTCGTACAGTGGTCTGGGTGCTTTGATTTCGGCTCGGGATTGGAATTGGGATTGGGAGTGGAAGATTCTGATTGCGCCATTCACTTGCCAGCGGCGCCTGGCTATCAACGCCATCGGGAAAGGCATCACACACAGCTCCAGCAACAGCCCCAGCGCCAGAACCGGGCCCAAGACCGCCCCTGATCATCAAATTTGTTATCATTTAATTGGCTTTGCGGTAGCTGAAAACTTTGCAGCTTAGAGAAAGTTCCCAGGCGAACAAGAAATTGTAATTAAAAAATAAAAAAAAGAGTGGCCGAAATCAATTAAATTGCGGAAATTCGCAGCATCTGCGATTCTATACTATCCCATCCGATTCGGTCTGATGTGGCAATGTGCGTGTCTTTTAATAGGTTTCCATTGTTGGCCAGAAGCCATAGATACGGCCATAATTGAAATGTTAGGCCCAATGACAAGGGAGTTGAGTGACAGGCCTAGGGAAACCGCAGTCTCAATACGCCTCCTTGGACTATCGTCTTACTCCCATAATAGTGGGGGGAATATAAAAACAGTACTCGCTTGGAATTCTAATGTGTGATTCAATAATTCGAATTTCAAACCATAATTTCTCTGGGGACTGTGGAATTTCCAGACTCAAATTTTATTGAGTGCACACGGAATTTGTATCGATCTCGATGACATTTTTTTATGATCGTTGCGGTGCACTATCCTCCAGCAAAAATCCAATCAATGGGCATAAAATAAAAAACCATAAACCGTAATGCATTCAGACGGCTGTCATAAAGCGCTTATCAATTGCTCAGCGTCTGTGTGGCGGCACTTTTAACAGTTTGCTTTTATTACTTTTATTGGATGTTTGCTTTTTTTTTGCTTACTCGCGTTTTTTTTTGCAAAAATTATTATTTGTTTCTGCGACTGCTTGTGTTTTTTTTTTGTTGCCGCTTTTAACGATTATGATGCCCGGTTTCATAGCAAATGAGCTAATTTAGATGCCTTAATGGTTTTATAATTGTACTTGGCCGGTGCTTTTTATGGCAACGGTTTTTGTTTGTGTGATCCAGGGCAATGCCAACATTGCCTTTCTGGATTACGAAGCTACTTTTTGTATAATTTTTTCCACAAATCATCAAGTTTGTGTCTTAAGTCTTTTGTTTTTGTTTCACAGAAAATTAAGTCATGAGGAGGAGAGTTGAGAAAAACTAGCGTACTTGACATTGCAGCTTCTTATTATTATTTAGGCATCTAGAAATTAATTTAATTTCTTAAATTATTATCCGAATGCTATATTTTTCTCACTAATTTTTTTTATTGTATAAATAAGACATACTATCTTCTTTACTAATGAACTGCAACACAAGTTAAGCCTAAAAGTCAACAACTGCCACACCAAAAAGGAGAACAACTTTAGATTGCTTTTGTCAGGTCATTAGCGCTGACTAAAGTTGACTGGGACTCCTTGAGAGCAGCCCCTCCCTTCCCAGCCACCCCCTCATGCCACTGTCACCGCAACAAAGTGTTGCAACATTCTGGCATTCGACTACGTTGGCGGTCGTTTAACGAGCACAAAACCCAGCCCTGGGCAAGATCAAGAGGAGCCGGAGCATGAAGAGATGAAGGAGCAGGAGGAGGAGGAGGAGGAGGACGAGTCGCTTCAACCGAAAAACATGACCACCGATGGTTGAAGGGAGGCGGAGAGCACGACGCGACTTTATTACAACTTCTATAAATGATTTCCGCTATTAAAGTGAAACATTTTTGCATAATTTTTCACTTAGAAAGGACAAAAAGCAACGGCCCCAACGAAATCGATTGGAGGGAAAGAAGACAGCGGGCGCACAGAGGAAATTCCTCACGCTTCCATGAGGCCCGCCAGATATGCCCGAAAATTCCACACCACAACGCCTACCCAGAGACCCATATGTATACCCCACCCATACTGGTCCCCTGTCCATCCATCCTCTTCCTGATCCGCTGCCAGACCTCGTTCATCGTCATCGTCAACGTCTTTTTCGGTCGGGTTTTGATAATGCGTCTCCACCTTCAGACAACGCAGACCCAGACCCAAACCCAGGCACATCCACATCTCCATCTCCTTCATCTCGTAACCTGTTGAAATGTGTGACAAATTGGGCGTAAAGAGGCCCAAGCCCTTCCCCGTCCACCACTTCCATTACGCTCGCCCCTTCCGATTCTGTCCTAAGGCCACGAAACGTGGGCGTGACAACGGCGATTTTGGTTCAGATTTTTCGTGCTTTTCTTTTGAGCAAAAGGCGAAAAAATGTATTTGGTACATTCTCAGTGTAAAAATTGAGTCATAAATTATTATGTTTATTAAATTGTAAGGTATGAGGGCACATTATGCATAAATACATGAATAAACTAACGACCTATAATAAGCCATGGCTATAAATAAGAACATCTGCCTTCGGTTGATGGTTATAATCCAAAGATATTCTTTCTGCTTGTGAGTAGATCAGGTGCTCCGGAAATCTAAATTTTATTTCCCAGGGTTTCCATTCGCGCCTGTCACTTTCTCCCTTAACAGGCGATGTGTCTTTTTCACCACATCGGACATCTCGCACTTGTTAACGAACAAATCGCCAACAAAATTAATCACACAACATGAAATGTGTTGCATCTAAACGGTGTTTACGTCTTTTTTTTTCCTATACTATTTTTTTTTTATTTGCCAGCTTTTGCGTTTTCACAGCCGTAACCGGCAGCTTGTACAATTTCATAAAAACTCATTAAAATTGTTTTGCTGGCAAAGAAACATGCATGTTTCCCAGGTTAGCTGCAACATGGAAACAGCATTGAATAGAAAAAGGAAACAAGGCGAACGAAAGAAAGATGCAGGCTTGAGAGGCAGCAGCACCACCAGGCAACATTGTACAGGCCAAACGAAAAGCAATTTTAATGAAGCCAAAGTCGCGCTGCACAGTCACTTGTTGCTCTCTTGCCGCTGTTGCAGTTGCAGTTGTTTCTGTGGCAGGCCGCATTGTTGCTGCCTTATAAGCACGGCATGTATTTGTTGCCCACAATGCGAGTGGCACGATGTAATTGACATCATTAGACTAAAGCGCAGCGGGCCCCAAGTCCGAGCAAAGGAGCGGGCGCTAGAAAGTGGCCTTCCGTCCCGGCTGCGAGGCTGCACCGTTAGGCCAGAATTACCGTTCTACGGGAAAATCGACCCACCGCAGTACCCACCGCTCAAAAGGTAATCTCCCCACCAGCTGATGCCCAACTATGCAAATTATAATATGTAAATTAAAACTAATGAAATTATTTTTTGTTGCTTTGCAAATTGGCAAGTTCGTGTACTAAGTCTTTCGTTGAAGTCTTTCGTACAGTTTTTTGGCAATGGGTGTTCTTGAAGTTCTTTCAGAACTAAGAATCAATTTCCGTTGTATCATAAGAGTTAAATTTCTTCTAAAGATTCAAAATAACCGTTTTACGGAAGACCCGACCCACCACAGGTAGTGGCATCTCGAAAATAACAATCCCAAGCCTCATCTCAACCCAAATTATGTAAATTATTAAATGAAAATAAAAACTAATGTAATTATTTTTATCGGACTCCCCGGTCGTGCTGAAGAGATTTAAATTTTTAATGCCATTGTCAAATAAATTTCAAGTTTAAGCATTTTCGGGCCAGACTTTCGTTGGGAATTTATGTCATCGGCCTGCCCCCCCACTCACCATGGAATGTTGCTGCTGGAGGAGATTGGGGAATCTGGCTTTGTTCTCCACTCTCTTTTTTTTCTACGATACGGTGTTGCGGCTTCTTTTCTTTTTATTGTTTTCTGGTTCGGTTTATCACAGGCAGCTACAGAATTATATTAAATTAATTTAATTGGGGAAAATGCAAGTTAATTGTGCCGAATTAGAGCCACTTGCAATTACTTTCTAAATCCACTTATAATAAGTATGATTAACTTCCATTAGCTTACACACTAAAATTGATTTATTTGCAAAGATTTTTGTGGCGTTTTTTTTTTTTGTGCCAATTTTTGTTGTTGTTGGTGGTGTTGGGTTACATAAAGTTATAAGAGTTATGCAGCCGCAGCAGCAGCAGCCGTTATTTTGTTTTTTTGTTGGATTTGCTTTTGTTGTTGGGCTGCATAAATTAAAAATTCATTTTTATGGCTTTTATGTGTCATTTTGGTTGGTAATTTATGTAGAATATGGCTTGGCCAGCAAGCGGCAGCAGCACCAGCAGCAGATGAATAAGAAGAAACAGAAGAAGAAGAAGGAGAAGTCACTCACACACTTGAACAAAATCACCGACACACACTCTTATATACACACACACTCGGGCGCGGGTCAAACAAGTCAGGCAACTTTTTTTCATCTCTTTGCTGCACATAAAGAAATGTTGCTATTTTTTATTTGTTAATCAATACATTTTTTTTACTCTGCAGTTTGGCCAAGTTTGTGTCCTAAGTCTTTGGTCCTAAGCATGTTTTTCACCTCAAGTTTGTGTCCTAAGTCTTTCGATTAGGTGACTCACACTAGGTGTTTTTCTTTTAATCTTTTATAGAACTATATCGAAATATATTCTTTTTTGTCAGTGTTTTACTGGCCAATCTTCGGATTGCCTTCCTTTTTTTTTGTTCTCTTTGGCAGGTTGTTGTTGCTTTTGTTATTAGTAGCATTTACTTAGGAATGCACCAAAGCGAGAACGTTTCGGAAAAATTACGACAACTACAAGTGGATTGAAATCGAAGCGAAAACTGAAAAATGGTTTTGGCCTGGTTTACCAGGAGAGGCAACCAACAAACAACAAAAAAAAAATGAAGGAAGAGCGCGTACGGAAAAGGAGAGACAGGGAGAGCAGGCAACAAGCTGAAATTCCCGATCGCGAACAGATGTCAAGTCGAGTTTGGCGAGTTCAAAGGCCGTTGCCGAATTTTCCCACCGCTTGTCCCGCATTTTTTCGCAACATCACAGGCTTTTGTTTGTTTGCTGGCCAGCGAGAGCGTTTTGCTAAAGCTATCGCGGCACACACACTCACTTGTTGGATCGACCGTGGTTGCTGTTGTTGTTGCTTTTTCAACGAAACAGAATTCGCGTTGGGCTTTGACCACCAAAATTCGATGTTGAACGCGCCGCATGCAAAACTCAACTGTGCCAGCCAAGATTCGATCATGGATCGTGGTCGATCGAGAGAGCGGCTTCAAAAAAAACAGGTACATAGCCACAACTATGTGGCACCATCCATGATCTGGTCACACAATGGTATACCTGAGTTGCCACCTGGATTTCTTACCTGCAACACTGAAAAAAATTGTAAGTTTTCTACCCCAAATCAAAGAGAAGCTTTTATGCAAATGTATTGAACTTTATTTTAATAAAAACTTTGATCTCAATAACTAAAATTTAAAACTATATTAAACTCTAAATTCATACTTAACCAAATATATTTGTACCTGAAACGTTGGGTCCAAGTCGTCTACCATTTGTTTACTATTCTTCTTCGTTTCCAAGAGGAATGAACGCTGGAAGAGTACCTAGTTGGGGACGTTTTCGTATACTGATAGCTTGTTCCGAAGCTGTATCCTCCTCTTCTTGCAGCTCTTCCATCTCCTCTTTTTCATCCTCCAGCTCCTCAATCTTCCCTTCAGCACCTTTCGATGATGGTTCATCACACTTGAAGTACCGCGAACTGGTGGGTTGGTCTACCTTTATGCCGACTTCCTTTGGAGTCTCTGCAGGTGCGACCGGTCTTGGTATCACCTTCGAGCGAGGCCTTATCAGTCGCTGTTTGGGTTTCTTCTGGCAGAAAACGCAGTTGGAGAGCTCGCATTTTCCCTTGCGCTCCAGCTCCGGGCAGGCGAACTCGTGGCGCTTATTGCACTTGAAGAATTATGGGATTTAGCAATGGCTTCCGATGTCGTTGTAGGCAACTTACCTCGGCAGCACGCGGGCAGTAGCCGCGAACAAAGTCTATGCAGATCTCGGTCGTGGGGTTCAACTTCTTGTGAAGATATGGGCAGTCTTTCCGAGCACAAATGCCACGCAAGAAATACCGACAAACTGGCATCTTCTCCAGCGTTACATTGTGCGAGAGCAGGCAGTCAGTCTTCGTGCATTCGCCTCGCAGAAATCTAGAAGAAATGATAGACGAGAGAATGACCGTAATGGGAATTCATCGCTAGGATAGCCATCATTGGGTTAATACTTCCCGCATGGCCTTGGACAAACCTGGGACATATGGCAACTTGCCGCTTGTCATGCAACTTGCGACACTTTCCGCGACTGTGGGCAGCACACTTTCCTAGCTTCTGGAAAATGGCACAAGGTACATTGGTCTTTGTCAGAGGCTTGTTGAGCAGTGTGAGACTTCGGTGTCGGGCGGTTATCAGGTGAGCTCGCGACAAATGGTTCGAGGTGCGTATAAAGACGTTCTGGGTCTTGGGCGATGCCACATAAGTCAAACCTCCAATATCAATGCGTCGCATTGTGGTCCGATTAATGCTCATTTTGGGGGCAGCTGCTGCCACTTCCGTAGGCGATTTGGACGAAACTCTCGTTAGACGACAGCCCGAAGGATCCAGAATGAACTTATTGCCACTAACGAACAGCGTTCTCCCTGAAACAGTCCGGTTAAGTGTCCTAGAAGCCGTGGAATTGGTTATGGGAGCAGTTCTGTTGGCGTCCAGCTTGGTTATCTTGTTTTTGGATATCTTTTTGTACATCACGCCATGTATGCTGACCATGCTGAGGGACTTGTTGACGCCGCGCTTGAGCACCTGTGGCTTGGAGCTGCAAAAACATATGTAGTTAATTGATTTTCCTGATATTGTATATCTTACCTTAACTTCTTTGGTGAGTCCGCTTCATTGGTGCGTCGCAGGGCGTATTGGCCCACGAATTCTTTCAGAGGACGACGTTTCTTCAACAGGGGCGTGAAGGTCAGCGAAATGGCGCGCACCAGTTTGTATTTGGTGCGTTTTGCTGGAAGTGGAGTTCGTGGCGTAGTAGTCATGGGCTTTGCCGTGGGCGCAAGCTTGACAGCTCCTTGACGAACTATTTTACGCTTTGAAATGCTAATCAAGGGAGGCTGGACGAGAGGGCGAGCAACAACAGGAGGTACAAATGATACGGGAGCAACAGGCTTACCAACCGACTTCACTGGAGGCTTACGAACCAAACAGGTACTCGATTTGCTTATTATCTTGGCCTGCGGTGGCGGTGGATTGACAGGAGCTACGTTAATCACAGAAGGCACGGCGGGAATCGCTTGGAAATACGAGGCGGAAACCTGTTGGAGCTGTTCCAGCTTCTGTTGCTCTTGTAGTTGTTGCTGCTGCTCGTACATGGCACGTTGCCGCTGAAGGAATTGCGGATTGATATGAATTGCGGGTAGGGGTTGCTGGGGAATGCCCTGGAATCCCTGCAGTGGCAGAGGCTGTGACGCCGTTTGACCTTGTAGTGCCTGGTGTGCCATTGTCATCTGGAAATTGGGATTAATGTACCATTTCCGCGACACGGGAGGAAACTCCTCGTCGGTGCTAAGGTGCGGTAGCATTGCGTTGATCTCGTAAACCAAAATATGCCACAAAGTTTGTTCTTTTTCGAGTTTTAAGTAAGTTTTTTCTATTGACAGCCAGGGCCAGGCAATTGTCATTACGTTTCTAGAGATGGGACGGTGCTATCAGGAAAAATATCGATATTTTTGTTTTATCGAAATGTGAATAAACAAAAGCTTGACTGTCTGGCATCTCTCTCACTTCATTCATGTTTCTTGATTTGTCTTGAAACGTGGGTGATTCTTAGAAAGATTTCTTCAGGGAATTTTGAATAAAAATGGGAAAAGACCGTGGCAGGGGACGCCATCATAAATTTAATGGTCCATACAACATGGGTAGGCGCGGCCAGAGAAAAGACCGGTTCCAATCCAATGGACCCCAGCGCAACAGGTAAACGAATTCAAATAAGAGGCTCCATCCATAAGTTAAACGGCTTTTTGTCCAGATCCACTCCATACCAAAAAATCACACTGCGCGAGGACCAGGTGGCCATCACAGAGTTCACCAATCCTGAGGCGCCTGGTTTCACCGGCATTCTCAAGTCACGCTTCTCCGATTTCCACGTGAACGAGATCAACACCCAAGGCAAGGTCTTGGAGCTGAACGATCTGAACGTGCCAAAGGTGGTCATCCAGCGTATGTATTTTACATTTTTGTATTACATTTATTTTATTAACCTGTAATAATATTTCAGCTGTGGATCCCCAAGATTTGGAGAAGTGGAAAAAGGAACTGGAGGGCGTAATTGGCGCTGATATCTGGCAGGAAATTGCCAATCTGGCCGAGAGTAAATACGATGCCACAGCGGAGCAGAAGGTGGAGATTGATGTGAGCAGCCTGGACAAGGAGAAGCGAACCCAAGTCCACCAGCTAGTCAAGCAGCTCTATAAAGGGAAACTGGTGTCCACCACCATTGGACAGCAACAGGTGAAGCCCTCAACGGAAGAGAAACCACCAGAGGCAGCAGAGGAGAAGAAAACCATTCGCATCTTGAAACCAAAACCAGGAAGAGGTGAGTAGAGAGATGCTTTTCTATGAAACACAAAAATATCTTCTTGTTTTCGAAAAAGGCGATAATCGCTGGAGCTTTCCTGGAGAATATGTCACTTTTCTGGTGCACAAATCCAATATGGACACTGTCGAAGTGGCTTCAACGCTGGCATCAAAACTTAAGTAAGGAACCAGGAGAGTCCCTTTATAATTTGGTTTAAATCTTGAAAATTTCTTGCAGCTTACGTCCTTCTCAGGTTAACTACTGTGGCACCAAGGACAAGCGCGCCAAAACTACACAAAACTTCTCAATCAAGCGCCGCTCTCCTGACAGTATTTTGGCAGCTTCGCGTAGCCTAAGGGACGTGCATGTCGGCAACTTTGGTTTCAGAAGCACCACTCTTAAGTTGGGCGATCTGCAGGGCAATCGCTTCCGCATTGCATTGCGTCATGTAGCTCGTGAGAGGCGTGCCGACATCGAGAAGTCATTGGAGTCCGTGAAGGAGCGCGGATTCATCAACTATTATGGGTTGCAGCGTTTTGGAAATAGCGCCAGTGTACCCACATACGAAATAGGCGTGGCACTGCTTAAGTGCAACTACAAACTGGCATGCGAACTGATTCTCAAGCCGCGCGACACGGACGTGGAGTTCCTGCGTCCCATTCGCGAGGAGTGGTGGACGAATCGCAACTCAGCAGCGGCAGCTGCCAAGATCCACTCCGATAAGTTTATTGAGAAGAAGCTTCTGGACGGATTAGCCAGATTCGGCGAGTCCGATTACGCTCCTGCTCTCAGGCAGATACCACGCAATATGCTAATGCTGTATCCACATGCCTACCAGAGCTTCATCTTCAATAGGATTGCCTCGAAAAGGATTAAGGAGTTTGGCTTGAAGCTAATTCCAGGAGATTTGGTTTATGTGGAGGATCCACCAACACCGCAACAGGAGAAGGAGGAAGTGAACGAAGAGGAGCCCTCAGGGGAATCTACGGATGATCTTTCAGAAAGTGCCCCTGATGCTGTCGAAGAGGATGAGGAAGAGTCTATTTTTAAACGCAAAGTTCGACCATTAACGGAGGAGGACATTGCCAGCGGGCAATTTAAAATAACTGATGTGGTGCTGCCTCTGCCAGGACATGACATTACCTATCCTGGCAACCAGTGCCGAGAATGGTACGAGGAAATGCTGGCCGAAGAAGCCCTCACCTCGGAGATGCTCAAGCACAAGGATAAGACGTACTCTCTGGGTGGAGCTTATCGCAAGCTGATCATTCAACCCAACGATCTCAAATGGAGCTTCCGTCGGTACAACACGCCCGAAGACACGCTCATTGCCTCAGACTGGGAGCGCCTACGAAACATTCCCATTACAAAGGAACCCGAAGAGGAGGAGGCCGAATTTTTGGCCCTGCTTTTGGAATTCTCCTTGCCCACGGCCGCCTATGCTACTATGTTCCTGAGAGAGCTATTCAAAAAGGATACCTCAACGGCGATACAAATGCATTTGGAATATGAGGCGATGACAAATAAAAAGAAGGAACTACTGAAGGAGGAGAAGGAGGTACTGAAGGAGGTACTGAAGGAGGAGAAGGACGTACTGAAGGAGGAGGAGGAGTTACTGAAGGAGAAGAAGGAAGCCCTGAAGGAGGAGAAGGAACCGGAAGAGGAGGAGCCAGTGGAGAAGATGAGAAAGGTGGAGGAGGAGGAGGTGGCTCAGACCAACTGAGGGCGAGACCAAAAATCAATATGCTCGGGCAAATCAATTTTACGCGCGCTTCGTATATAACTCCAGACCAAAAACCAACCACAACAATAACAATGCGCACGTGAGGGCGCGGACTGCTCCGGGCTGCTCTCTTCCGAGCACCATACTCTCCCGCTGGCGGGCTGCTTTCCTCTCTCTCTGTGCGGCTGAGGAAGGTCCTGTCTTGAAATTGCAGCCACTATTTCATTCGTTCGGTGGCAAGCAACGCGAAAGCGACGTGCTGCGCAGTTTTCCCAACTCGACCACAAAAAAGCCCAGTCTCACGGTGTTTTAGCCCAAATGTTGTCAATGAAGAGCAATAATAAATAGTTGTGTTAATCCTAAAAACCTAAAATCCCGGAGTCTCATTCAATCGTAGTGTAATCCGCAGTGTAAACCGAACGGAGAAAGCCCCCCAGGTATAGCATTTGGCTTCTAAATTGTTTTGGGCGCGCTTATTTCAAAAATGCCATTAAATCGAAATAAATAAATGAAATAATTAAAAGTGTTAATTATAGTGAGTGCCATTGAACAATGAACTTACAATGCCGAACTGTACAATATTTTATTTTGGCTTTGTCAGCTTATTGATTTTTGTTTTTGTGCTTGTGCTGAAATCAATCGATAATTCGGTGTTAATACAGGGGGCATGGGCATAGGGAGAAGGTTGACACGGGATGGGGATGGGTGTTGGGTGCCAGCAAGGTGGCTGCCCGTAGGAGTAGTTCATATAGTGGCCTTAGTGCGTCGGTGGTGGGGAGGCTGATACTAGGGGGTGGCAACTGTATTTCAGTCGTTAAGGGTGCACGACGTTCCTCGCTCGTTATGTTTTGTTTTCGACTGCCCTGCCTGCCTGCCTGGCGCCCGCTCCCGCTCCTCGCCCCCGCTCGGGGAGTCCTCGAATTAATAAACTAAATGCTTGTTTTGGCGTCGTCGCACTCCCCAGACCCACCTTTCCCCCTCCCCCATCTCGTGCCGATCCAGACGAGGATATTGGACATGTTATTGCTTGCGCGCGCACTCTTTGACTCTTTTTTTTGACCAGAGTAACCCAACCAGTAGCCAGTTTCCAGCTGCGTCATAGTAGGAGTTTTTGGCGTGGCTGAGTTCGATTTTCTATGCCACCTAACCCGCCACCGACCCACCAGTACAAGCCTCCAAGACCAAAATGGATTTATTGTCCTTTGTCGGTTCTAAGGTGGCGGAAGTCTCAGAATTCCTAATTATATTTTTATTAGACTCTCTTATGTTTTAGGTAATAAATAATATATATATTAATTGTTTTATATATTCTTCATCCTTTTATCAATGAAGTCTTCTCATCTTTGGCCAACTAATAGTATATGGTTTAAGTGTTTTTATTTTAAAATTATTCATAATTTAGTCAACAAATGCTAGTCTTAACGCAGTCTTAGTCTTGGGTTAGTTTTTTATATATTCTCTTTAAATATTTATGTCATCAATAGGCTCCTGATTTAACGCCGACAGGTTGCACTTGCAGAGATATGTTAGTATACGTTTTTCGGCTTTACTGCGATTGTCCGTATCTAGTCCCTCCAGAAGAGCTTCTATTCGTTTCATCAGATCTGCGCGAACCGGAATCGTGGGTGCTGTGGAAGCAGGAACAACCGCGGTGGCTACTGTTGTACCCGCCAGTTGTTCATCCATCGCCTCCTGTAACTGATCATACTCGTCGTGCACATCCACTACCAGTTGTTCCCCTTTTTTTGGTTCAGGCCAGCTAACATCCGCCCTATTGTGTTGACTGGTTAGGTGGTGATGCCGATGCTGCAGGAATCGCATCTGGGGCAGAAGACTCCAATCCGAGCCGGGACCCCCCAGCTTCTCCTTGGCCACCTCGCGACGCAGTTTGGATACAAGATTGTTCCAATGTGTGTTGCAGGTGTTCACTAAGCAGTAATCACAGATTTAACTTCAAATATTAAACATAATTTTGTTTGTTTACCATCGGTTTTCAAGGAAGTGGCGATGCTGCGCCATATTTCTGTTTTTTGTTTTTTATGCGCATCGTAGGGAGTGTTCCTTGGGTCCTTTTCATAGAGTTTGGGATTAGCTCGTACTAGTTCTATAAGTCTAGAATCAAAGTCGGCCATTTCTTTAAATATTTCTTCACTTCTTGTGGCTAAAATGAAAGCTTATGAAAAAAAACAAGTAAATAAACAGTGTGACCAAAGAAAGTATAACCATCAGAGATGAGCAAAAACTTCACCTCACCACTGTGGGGAAAATGGCTTTTCAAATAAAACTACCCCATTAAATACGGCGCGTTTTATTGATTTTTAATATTGATTTTGTTGTTTTGCAGGCGCTGCCGCCACCGAGATGGCCGCCGAAAACTATCACCTTAAGTGGGACTCGCACCTATCCTATCTGAACACTTCCATAGCCACACTTTACAAGTGAGTGAAACCATAAAGCTTTATTTTCTAAAAAACTATAAACAATCCTAATATTAATGTTTTAGAAATGAAAAGTTTGCTGATGTGGTGCTATACAGTTCGTACAACAGCAGCGGCATTCCCTCGGACATACCCACGGTGGGAATATCGGCCCACAAGTTTATCCTGAGCGCTTCGTCCCAATTTTTTGCCACCATGTTTGAAACAGCACCGATCACGGCCCCGAACGGAGTGCTCTACGTGGTGCTGCCACCGGACTTGAGCCATCGAGCTATCCAGATCCTGGTGCAGTATATGTACAGCGGGGAGGCCACAGTTTCGAATGACATCCTAAACGAGGTGCTTCGCGGCGGGGAAATCCTAAAGATCCGCGGCCTCTGCCGTACCAGCTCTTCCAGTGGCGGGGGATCCGGTGGCCCAAGTAACCAGCACTCTCTATCCGGACACCTACATCCACGGGAGACGAGCGCTATGTACGTTTCGAATGGCACACGATCGGCGCTGCCTCCTCCGCCGCCACAAACCATGTCCTCGCAACATCCCGGAGATCTGTACAGCAGCAAGCCCCGATACGCACTGGATCACCATCACCATCTGTCCTCATCGCACCATAGCCACAGTCAGAGCCACCACCACCATCCGCAGCAGCATCAGCAGTTCCGGGGCCTGGGGGTTTCCGTGATGCCCAAGGACAGTCCCGTGATTGTCAAGTCGCCCAAGATAGCCACCCATACGGGCCTCCTCAGCGTGGCCAGCAGCAGCAAGCTGGGCATTTCGGTCAATAAGGAAGTGGCTATTGATCCGGAGGATAAATGCTGCTATCCAGGTTCCGTTCCGGTTGAATCCCAACCGCCACCACCTCAATCTTCCTCGGCAAGCGCTGGATCTGTGGTAGCACCACCTCCTCAGGGCATAAGCATTTGTACCGAAGTGGGCTGTAGTAGCTGTCCTATGGGCGCCGGTTCCAATCAGGAGCCTGCAGAGACCACACTACGCCGGACAGACTACGAGGAGCAGGCTCTCTGCGAACGGGAGGAGGTGGGAATGGTCTACGAGCGGAGATTACGAAGGGAGAGTGCCTGCGAGCGGAGTCACGACTACTATGAAGCACCGCCTCCCAGCCACTTTGAGCACGTGGTGACCTCCCGTCTGGCCGTCTCACCCCCACCGCCGCAGCCACCGCCACCGACATCGTCGCATTCAACGCATCCGCATCCGCACAACTTCCTGACCATCAAACAGGAGCCAACCGACTGGAGCAACAACCCACCCAATGCATCGAATGCTAATAACAATAACCACGAGGAGGGTCCCATGGGATCGCCCAAGCAGCCGCTGGACTTCAAAATGAGTGCCGTCAAGCTGGAGGTCAACCGGGACCGGGCCTCTCCCCCAGAGGACTCCGAGGAGCATACGCTGCGAGACTACAACAATTTCAAGCAGCTCCTGGTTTGCGAGATTTGTCAAAAGTCCTTCGAGGACACAAAGACCCTGGTGCGGCACTTGGGCACACATGCCGGAGATAATCCGCCAGGGGGTCCTACAACCGGATCAGTCTCGAGCTCCAATCTCCTAGCGCCGAGTGCCAGTGGAAGTACTCCTACGGCGGCCAGCAATTCCAGCAATCTTGCCCTGCGCGGAGCCCTAAAGACCTATGTGCCAAAGAAGCGACGTCGGGTATCGGTAAGTAGTTATGGATTTTATCCTTCTAAGTTCTAAAGATTAATATTTATTTTTATTTTAGCAACAGGAGAACAACATGGATCATGATCACGTTACCCTGCTCTGCGACTTGTGCTCCACGTAAGTTGAATCTGATCTTTAACTTTTAGAAAATATATCTATATCCTCGTTATCCTGCAGATCCTTTGAAACTCCTGCGGAATGGGTTCGCCATATGAACAATCAGCACACCGAGATCGAACTGGCCATGTTCAACAGCAAAAAGGATGGCGAGCAGAAGGGATGTGTCTCCTAAAGAGTTTCCCGTATGGTGTCCTGCCCCAAGCAGCAAATCTTCTTCCACTTCCACAGTGTCCACCAGCCAAATGCAGCCAAAAACATAAGTCCAGCTCCACTCGATCCCAGATGCAAATGCTTGAATCACCAGAAACAAATCCCAGGAGAGCCCAGGAGCTATTGAAACAGCAGCATCAAAACACTATTTGTTCGATAAATTCAAGTCGTTCCAGTAATCAAAGAAGGAAGAGGGAATATTTATAATGCAACAGCAAGAACCGTGATCAAAATGCAAGCAAGATTTGCATATTTTATAGAGCAACAAAAAAAGCAAACACCTACAAATTATAAAAATCACAAAAAATAAAAATATTATCGAAACTTTAAACGAAATTTAGAATCAGAATCGGCAGGCAACGATCAAAAAAATCAAGAAAACAAATGAAAGCTAACAGTTTAAAAACGAAAACCACAAGATTTAACTCAACTGTGTAGATCTTTTTTTTAAATATATGTATTTACCTAGTTTTAGATACTTATTCCCCAGTAAAAACATGTGTATTTAAAGTAACAACGCGCAATCCACAAAAGAAATTGAATCATTTTAAAGGAAATGAAAAATTCCAGTGTTGTATAACAGCGGACTAAGGGGAATCCCAATTTGTATCGTTTTATTCAAAATTATTTTGTTAAAAATCACATTAAAGAAAAGTAAAACCCTATAGGACCAAAAAAATTAAATTTAAAAGCAAAATCTGTTTATTCATGAGTCACCTAAAATACTTTTCTATGTCATTGCTATTATTTTTGTTCTATTGATTTTTCGTATGTAATACCTGATAACTTGCAGTAGTTATCGTGAAATTATGACTTGTGAAAATTTTATATTTTTTATACGACTTCAATAGAAATTTCTAGAATCTTTTGTACATAGATTAAGTTCAGTTTTTAACGTCCGCCGATAGAAACATTTTGGAAAATGTCTATAATCTTAAATCTCTAAATGTGTGTAGTAGTTGAAAGTTCAATTATAAAGAAAACATGAACAAAAAATTCCCCCCAAAAACATGTATAAGTGTAAAAAACATAATATATATATTTACAAGCAGGCGTGATTATTAAAAAACTAAGTAGATTAAAAGAAAAACATTGCAAGCAAAAGAGAAAAAACCAGAAAAACTGAAGAAACCCGTTTCTTCCCCAAACAAATGGCAAAATGTAGAAAAAGGCGTTTTAATTGCTAAAATAAACCAACGACGATGAACATTCGTTTTTTTATTTAATCGACTTGATAAAGAATAGACGGAATTAAGAGTCGTGATAAGTAATTCTAAAAAGCTTTATTCAAAAAGCTTTTTAATAATAAATACAGAGCGCCGTCGAAGAGAAATTTTAGTTTTCGAGCCAACGTCGAATTGTTAAGTGAATTTTTTGTTCTTAATTTTATATTGCGGTTTAAGTTTAAAAGCCATTATGAGTTCTGGTAAACATCTGTCCAAAGGTAAGAGAAAATCTTGGTAAGAGAATCCAACCAAGTCATTCAAAAACAAGTTTTCGGTATTCCAGTAAGTGTGGGTTTGAGAAATGTTAAATATTTTCACTTTTTAGACACTTTTGTTAGTGAATAATTTAATAATAATTTAATTGGGAACATAATTTTTTCGATCACGTTTAATTTTAGTTTATCATTCACTAGCTGCGTGTTTAAAAATATGATTAAATTATATTCCTAAACAAGTCATGGTCTTATTCATAACATATCCGATTTTCTGTCAACCGGTTCTCATTTAATTCGATTAGTATCGAATAACCCAGAATAAATATTTGTTTTGAAAGTAGATAACATATCATACATGTTTGGCACGTCTGCCTTTATCAACTATATAAATATGACTTGATTTTTCTTAAAAACTTATCAGCAGGAAAACACTCATCATTTAATATGAACTTGCATTTTGTTTGCTTCTCACTTTCAACCTAAAGAGTTCAAAAGTTCATTTAAATATCAATAATATCTTCCAGGATCCCCCAAACCCACTTTGCCCGAAGATGGCCTTCCCCGGCTGTTCTCCATGCGCTTCTGTCCTTACGCCCAGCGGGCTCACCTCGTCCTGAACGCCAAGAACGTTAAATACCATACCGTCTACATCAATCTCACCGAGAAACCGGAATGGCTGGTGGAGTACAGTGCTCTCCTGAAGGTTCCAGCCCTGCAGTTAGCAGGGGAGAAGGGCCAACCCTCTCTCATTGAGTCGCTGGTGATTGCCGAGTACCTGGATGAGAAGTACCCTCAGAACCCCTTGCTGCCAAAGGATCCCCTGAAGAAGGCCCAGGACAAGATCCTTCTGGAGCGCTTCAATGGAATCACTGGGGCCTTTATGAAGATTCTAATCCAGAATGCCAATATCGAAGAGTTTTGGGTGGCGCTGGATATTTTCGAGCAGGAGCTGACCAAGCGCGGAACACCCTACTTTGGTGGTGACAAGCCCGGCTTTGTGGATTACATGATCTGGCCATGGCTGGAGCGTCTAGCTGTGCTGGAGTTTGTCACTAAGGAAAGCTACAGCTTCGATGAGAAGAGATTCGCTAAAGTCTCTAAGCTGGTCAAGCTCTTGAAGGAGGATGCCGTGGTAAAGTCCTTCTACGCTACCCCGGAGCAGCACCAGGAGTTCTGGCGCACCCGCAAGGCTGGCAAGGCCAACTATGATCTTCTGGCTTCCTTGTAACTTGAGATTTAAAAGCATTTTTATTTAAAATAATATTTTATGAAAAAATATGTACACTTCAATAATAAATTAAAAAGAATTCATTTAAAAACTAGAAAGTTAATCTAACTTCAGGCGGAGCAGAAGTTGATACACCCTTGCAGTTAAAATCCGATATTAATTGAAAAAATCGGATATAGTTGGCCGAAAACGTCTGAAAATGACATTATGACCCCCTGCGAAAGCCATATCTTTGTCAATATTCATCCGATTCTTGAGCGAAGCACCTTAAACGATTCGTAGAACTATTTTCCACAAATCTGCATCAAAATCTGAAAAAGAAATATTTTTTCGATTTTTTCTCAAATTTTCTGAGGGGTCTCCTCCAAAATTTCGGAAATGGAAATGACATTATGACCCCCTGCGAAAGCCATATCTTTGCCAATATTTATCGGCCAATATTAATGCCAATATTTACACCATAAATATATATTATTATTAGTAAATTAAAAGTTCAGAAAAAAAGTTTGTTGCTTCCCAAGAATCTTCACTGTATCTAGAGAATGGCTATGTGTGTCAGCCGCAAAGGTTGCCCCATGTCGCTCCAAGTTCAGCCGGGTAACCGAAGCCCTCCAGCGAAGGGCAGCCAGATTAGATCTTTATATACCACCCCACCTAACGATGTCATCACTTGCATTTAGAGATCCGAGCACACACATCATGAGCAACGGCAGGCACTTGGCTAAAGGTAGGATTCCAGACTAAAGGACACTAAGCTGTAGACTTATTCGAATCTTTTCAAAGGCTCTCCCACGCCCGATGTTCCCGAGGATGGGATCCTGCGGCTCTACTCCATGCGATTCTGTCCGTTCGCCCAGCGTGTCCACCTGGTACTCGACGCCAAGCAGATCCCCTACCACAGCATCTACATCAACCTCACCGACAAGCCCGAGTGGCTGCTGGACAAGAATCCCCAAGGCAAAGTGCCGGCGCTGGAAATAGTCCGCGAGCCAGGACCTCCGGTTCTGACGGAATCTCTGCTTATTTGCGAGTATTTGGATGAGCAGTACCCCCTTCGTCCTCTGTATCCACGTGATCCCCTCAAGAAAGTGCAGGATAAGCTGCTAATCGAGCGTTTCGGTCCGGTGCTGGGAGCCTTTTTCAGGGCCTCCGATGGTGGTGATCTGGAGCCCTTCTGGTCTGGTCTGGACACCTACGAAAAGGAGCTAAGCCGGCGTGGCACGGACTTCTTTGGTGGCGAGCAGACCGGCATCCTGGACTACATGATATGGCCCTGGTGCGAGCGCCTTGAACTGCTGAAGCTGCAACGCGGCGAAGACTATAACTACGACGAGGCAAGATTCCCACAATTGGTAAGATTATTCTTAAATCTATAATTCTAGATCTCAGAGGGAATCTCTTTTTAGACCCTATGGGTGGAAAGAATGAAGCGCGACCAGGCTGTGATGGCCTTCTACATGGAGGCAGAGGTGCAGGCCGAGTTCTTGCGCACGCGTGCCGCTGGACATCCCAACTACAACCTTCTGGTCAAGGAGGCTTGATTCTATATCTCTTTATTGGCGATTTCTTCTTGGAATGAATAAAAAATCTTAGATTCTATGCAATGTTTTTAAAGGCAATGTCATACTGGGGTTTTCCCAGGGTCTTGGACTTTTGGAACTCGGCATGCAGTTGGAGATCCAATGCCGTTTTCTTCACAGCTTCATCTTGGGCCACAAGGTCCCGCCATTTAAGCTGAAAAAATCGGAGTTTAAATATGAAATCTTCTCAAGAAATATTGCATTTTGGGCTTACCAATTTTCCAAACCGCTTCTCATCCAGCTCGTACTGACTATTTATCTTCATGCTGGGAAACCTCTCGAACCACGGCCAAATCATGTAGTCCACAATGCCGATGTCCTGCCCTGAAAAGTATGGAGTTCCCCTCTTTTCCAACTCCTCTTCGAAAACACCCAGAGCTGCCTCGAAATTCTTGATGGCATCTGCTGGAGCATTGGGATTGCAGGTCAGAACAGGGTAAATGGCACTTACAACCGGCGCAAAACGCTCGATAAGGATCTTGTCCTGTGCCTTCTTTAGCGGATCGCTGGGAAACAGTTGCCTTGGTTCCGGATACTGCTCATCCAAGTACTCGGCAATGACCATGGACTCCACCAAAGTGGGCTGATCTTTCTCATTTGTAAGCTGGACGGCCGGTACCTTTCCCAGAGGACTGTAGTCCTTGTACCACTCTGGCTTGTCGATCAAATCCACATAGATGGTGTGGTGGGGGATCTGTTTCACGGCCAGCATGAGGCGAATCCGATGACTGAATGGACAGAAGGCCATGGTAAAGTAGCGGAGAACCCCATCGTCGGGAAGCTCTGGCTTGGTTGAACCTGAAATTTTAATCATTCATGATTAGTCAACGGCTTCAATGACTCACAACTGGATAAACCCCAGCCCCGGATGAATGAGAGTACAGATTAGAGGTTATTTATGTTTCCTTTATCTGGCTAAGGAGTATATATCTGTTATACAGTTGCTTTAAGCTAATCCTGATCATAAGTACAGTTTAAAGGTTTCCTGCCACATAAAGAATCGTTTTAGTTTTGATTTTAATAACTTAATAAATTGCAAGGGTAAGTTTTTAGGAGTCCCTCTCCTCTACAGCGGCTCGAAAGCAATGTCGTAGTCGGGCTTGGCCTCATGACGGGTTCGCATAAACTTGGCATGGATGCGGGGATCCAAAGTAGTGGCTTTGACAGCCTCATCCTGAGCAACAAGATCGCGCCACTGCAGCAGGTTCTTGTAGCGCGTCTTGTCCAGTTGGTACTTGCTGTCAAGGGTGTACTGGAGAGCAGGGAATCGCTCGAACCAGGGCCAGATCATGTAGTCCACAATGCCGATTTTGGCGCCACCGAAGTAGGGTGTTCCCCGCTTGGTAATCTCCTGCTCGAAAACATCCAAAGCCTTCTCAAAGTTGGGAATGGCATCGGCTGGCGGGTCCTTGGTGAAGAACACCGGATAGATGGCACTGACTGCCGGAGCCAGACGCTCGATGAGGATCCTGTCCAGGGCCTTCTGCAGCGGGTCCTTGGGGAAAAGGGGTCCTTCGCCGGGATACTGCTCATCGAGGTACTCGGCAATCACCAGCGATTCAACCAAAGCCGGCTGTCCTGGCAGTTGGGGCAACTGGATGGCTGGCACCTTTCCCAATGGACTGTAGTCAATGTACCACTCCGGCTTCTCGCTCAAATCAATGTACACCGTGTGGTGGGGAATCTTCTTGGCGTTCAGCACCAGGTTCACCCTCTGGGAGTACGGGCAGAATCGCATCGTGTAGTAACGCAGGACGCCATCCTCGGGGATTTCCGGTTTGGGGGAACCTGTTGGAGTGAGTCGATTTGTCAGTGGACGGCTTTGACGTCATTCGAAATAATTTCCACTACTTTGGGGCTAAAATTAAACTTTCTATCTGCCGTAATTTACGCCTCCAACAGGGCATGAAGATAAAACTACTCTATGGCAATCTATATGCCGCGTCACTGTTCCTGATGATCCGATGACCTTGAAGTGATCACCCCCCCTACCTTAGACTCACCTCGTTTAAAGTGCTTTTGCGGCAGGGCCATCTTGTTAACTATATTGAGATAATTCCTTAGACGTGAAATGTTGGAGCAGACGTATTCCAATCGAGTGACAAGTACTGGATTCTCGGGTGGACCTTATATAGCGCAATCAAAACGACTAAAAGCTTATCGATAAAAATTAAAGCATTGCTGCAGGTGGTGGCGGGAAAAAATGAGCTTTTTAAAAAAATCGCAATAAGGCTTGATACTAAAATCTTAAAACAAAGTAAAAATAATCATTTTTCATCACATGAAAGCTGTTCCATGTTCAACTTTATTTCCATTATATGTACATTGCTCAAAAAAATATTTTTAAATACTGTAATTGTAAGTTACTCCAATTTTGGGCGCTTGGTGGCTTTGCTAAAATTATAGAAAATATTAAAAACCAAACCCTTTTGTTAAATTAAAAATAAAAACCTACTAGAGCATATTGTAGTCGGGATTGCCATCTCGTCTGGACTTCATGTACTTGGCATGGGTTTCTCCATCTAGATAAAAGATCTTGACAGCTCGGTCTTGGAGCATCAAATCGCGCCATTTAAGCTAAAATAAAGCAAAAGGTTGAGCTATATCAGAAGACTGACTACTCATGAACCCACCAAAGTAGAAAAACGCTCCGGATCCAAAACCAATCCTCGATCGTACTTCAAAGCAGCAAAACGCTCACACCACGGCCAAATCATGTAGTCCAACATGCCTGGAGCAGAGCCGCCAAAGAAGTCAGTGCCACGCTGCTTCAGCTCTTCTTCATAGATGGCCAGCCCGGCAAAGATATCGTCACTCTCCAGATCGGCAGGATTCGGGTTGAGAAGAATCCTGTAAAAAGTGGTGATAAACTGGCCGAAGCGTTCGACTAGGATCTGGTCCTTTGCCTTCTGGAGGGGGTCCTTAGGCCACAGTGGCACCTCCGGATATTTCTCGTCCAGGTAGTCGCAGATAATCAGGGACTCGATCAAAACCGGATGACCGGGTTCCCTCACGAGCTCCAAAGCTGGAACCTTTCCACTGCTGCTCACTTCGCGGAACCACTCGGGCTTCTCCTTCAGGTTGATGAAGATATCGTGATGGGGCACATTCTTGGCGTCCAGGACCAAGTGCACGCGGTGGGCATAGGGGCAGAACCGCATCGAGTAAAGCTTGAGAATGCCGTCATCGGGGAATAGAGGTTTGGTGGAATCTGGTGGTAAGAAATATGTTTTTAATTAACTTTTAATTAACTTTAATGAAAATGTAATGCATTTACCCAAAGTAAAATGCTGTAAATTGCTCATTTTTGAAAATAATTCAAAATATTTATTTGTTTTGTTTTATTGCTGGAATGTGCCTTGCCAACTTAGTTTAAATATACCAAATATTTTTAGTATTTTAGACTTTCTTGTTATCTTACTTCATTTTATATTATTTAAATTTCTATTAATATTTGATATGGTTTGCAAATTATACTTATGTAGTTATAATTACAGAATCTATTATATTTATAAAAATAAAATTAATTGTTTAATATTCGATAAATCGATAGGCCGACTAGGGCTGCCAATTATCGCTGCGAATTTCAAATATCTTCAGGACAACCCTCATTCGCCAGCCCTGGACAGCTGTGGCACGCATTAAAAAATATTATTGCGGATTTTTTGTAATATTTATATTGGCGGTGAATGCGAAAGTGTGAGATGGCAGCGGCGGCATATGTTTAAGTCCATAAAGTCCGGAAAATGTTTACACTAAGCCCGCCCCTTGCGTAATTGTGGCCGTTCGTTTGCGGAGTCAGTGCAGATTGCGCGAATTCTGCGAGGAAAATTCGCCGCTCCGGTTGACTTGCTGTGCCCATCCGAGATTATAGCAGCGTAATTGACATTCGGCGCTATCTCGACGGCGATTCCATTCAGCAGCGCCACCACCCCCCTGCCCACCATCCAACAGAAGCTATATTCGGCTCCGGACCAGCATCAGGGAATTGATAAATACAAACACCCGCGTGTGTATGTACGGTACGGTACGGTACGGTGAGTGTCTATCAACGGTCTATTAATTACACTATCTTTCGTGATTGTTAGATTTTGGAATTTCTTATTAAAAAAAAAATGCATGTGACGGGCCCCCCACCCCCCACACCCGCCATCTCCGCCGACTCGTCATTATATTTATTTATAGCGGCACGGATTTCCATGTGCGAGAGATTTTGACAACCACGCTCACACATACCCTAACACGGGTGGGGACATGGACACGTACACGTAACTGCGGTGCGGCATTCGGCACGTTTTTATGCTATTTTCGATCAGAATACATATGTATAGTTATATTCATGAATTTTTCATAAGCACCCCCATTTTCGCTATCGTTGGAGCCTCTAATTACGCAAAATCCGAGGGAATCAGAACAACGAACTAGGTGGATTCTTATCATCTCAGTGACCCATATAATCAACATGTGTTTCTGCTTCCTTCGGTGGCTTTGGTTCGACCTGAATGGTCTGGGGGCTCTATTCGATTTGTTATTTTCAGACATGTGGGTGGGCGGCTGGCGGCGTGAATCATAGATAGTGTTCTGCTGTTTGGAAATGTCCTTATCAGACGAGAAATTCACAATTGACCATACCACTGAAAGCTAAATCAATTATAAATGCTGAAAACTGGTAGAGGTAACTATATTCTTTGAATCAGAAGCTTGACATACTCTTGATGCAATTTTTATGTAACTTTATGAGAATATCAATGAACTCTACTTCCCATTCAGGTTCTCAATATTCCATAAACAAAATCATCTATCCTGGTAGCGGCGCCGACATTCGAGCCACACGGAAAAACAAACATTTTGTAGTTTACTACGCCGATCATTCCGATCCCGATCCCCCGAAATGAATTATTTATCGCTTATGGCCAGCCCTTCAACATCAGTTATGTGTCAGTCGAATAATAAATATTAAAGCCACGTAATTTAGCGCTCTACCAGTATTAGTCGACCATAGCAAGGTCAGAACCTCGTCGTTGTCCCGTCCGGATTCCGTACCATTTCGACGTGATCGACCTCTGCAGAGTCCGAGACGAGCCGAGCCGGCCAGAACTCTATTAGAGCAGTCACCTGACCCCGGGTTTTATTTGTATATCTATCAAAACCCCGACGCGCCTGCTAAAATTTCAAAAAGCGCTAAGTTTGCTGTCTCACCAAAAAAAAAAAAAGATAATTCCCGTAGGTGTGTGTGTTAGAGGGTTCTGGTTTATATATCCATGTATGTATGTAGATATAGCGAAAAGGTTCACTCGAAGATTTCAGCATGAAATTCGTTTATAGAGAAGCAAAGGTAAGCCGAAAATTACCTGGCAGGTAGCGAGCATATCTGGCCTGCAGTTGTCTGTGTGAAATTTCAGGCAGAGGCAATTAAAGATTACGTCAGCACCGCGAATAGAATCGTTCTCCAGTCGTAAAGTGGAGATAAAGTGTGAATTTACACTCGTAAGGTTTGAGGAGAAGGTTCCAAGGTTCTCCACCAGGAGATATCATGCATGATTTATTTTTATTTAGTGAGTCAACAACACATTAGAACTCATCAGGAATTAAAAGCTAATTTCAGCTATGAAATTTCATGTAAAGCTATCAGACCAAACCCTAAAATGGGTTCCAGGAAATGGGAGATGTTATGCGAAATTGCTGACTCAGCTATATAGTTTCGAGACCCAAAAGAATTTCACAATCTGGCGCAACTGTACATCTGAAATTTCAGTCTGAGAAGCAAATATTCAAGTTATTAAATTTCAGTCTCGAAAAATGATCATTTGCTGACCAAAAAGTGGGGATATCATGCGAGATTCAGTCAGCAAAAAGTATAGTGGAGATGTCAGGCCATTTTCAGATGACTAATCAGCGGAAATTGACCAAAAATGAGTCAGAATTTTAAAGTTTTTTAAAAATATCTTTAAAATTAATTTCTAAAAATATTTAAGCTTCAAAGACCTGATCTTAAAGTGCATGAGACACCTTGAAATTGATCTTCTCTTTGAATTCATCATTGAACTACTTAATTGACATTCGATTTCAAGCCAATACCCCCTGAAGTCGTAATCCTTTGGGTCCAAAGAACAAACTTGATGCGAGTTCGTTTGGTTCTAAAGTTTTCTTTGCTGTTAGCCATGGTCTGTAATCGGCCACGCCTTCGATGTGGGCATGCTTTAATGAACGCCCTAACCCCCCCACCACCACCAGTCTAGATATGTAGGTATATATGTATATATATATATGTTTGGGGCCAACAACGAAACTGGCTTATAAATCGCCATGCAAGCGACGCGCGACGCTCAGTTGCAAAGCTGGTGGTTTGGAGATCGGTTGAGATCGTTTCGGTTTTGGAAAATATTGATTGATTGAGTACGAAATTTAATTGATAAATCAAAAAGAATTATAATCAATAAAGAAGAAAGTGAATCTAATTTAGTTCTTATCTGGAAAATTTTGTATGAACCAGAATTCGATAGTGATAACTTTTTGAAAGACTGAAAGAAAGTGAATTTAATTAAATTATTTAATGACCAATGTAGCATTGAAAGCCACATAAAAACCCACTCGCTTTTTTGTCAGCTTTTTCTCTCAGTGATTTCATTAAAATCACGCCAACAGAATTTAAATGAGGCTTGATTACAAAAAGATAACAAAACTAAAATACAAAAAAATTAAAACCCAACTCAATGGCGGCAGCACTTGACCAATTGACTGAGTTATACTCGAATCTGGGATTGATTGGGAATATTGCCGACGAATATCGAATCGAATATTTGAACCGATTTGGTGGGAATTTGTGAATTGAGTTTTGGTGAAATGCAAATAATTTGCTTGATTGATTTTTATTGCCCACAAATGGCAGTTAATTTCCCTCAACAAGTGCGAACCTTTAGCCCTTAACCCCTAGCCTTGCCTGTCACCCTTAACCCTTAACAGCAGCGACCTTGGGCGGAAGCGCGTGTCCTTGTCAATGCCGCGCCGCGCCACGGGTGCAATGACAGCCGCCCACTTCCTGCGACCTTCACACTACCGCCTCCCTTATGCAATGGCCATTTCCACTAGCATTATATTAGTGTTTGGCTTTCGCTTTTATTAAGTCGATAAGCCACCCACTCTCCTCTCTTCTCCCACCACCCACCTGTGTCGTAAATTTTCGCCAAAGTTTTATCAATAAATTGGATTCGAATGTAGGCAGGATTGCTGAACTAACCAGCCCGAACTTGTGGCATTAATGCGCAATTGCAATACTGTCCAAGTCTCCAAGTCCGCGTCCCACACATATTCGAACAAGTAGTTCCCAGCCCCCGCCAATAACAAAGCTATTTTCAGTTTTAAACTCGGCTCTTGGAACTTTTCGGCGCGTGTTAGTCGCTGTTTGTTTACTGGAGGAGCCGCATGGGACTCCTGGTCGTTCTAGCTCCAGATTAGGGGCCTCTATTAACCCGATAAGCTCCCAAATTAACATTTAGTATCCCGACAATGTAATGGTTTGTAAAGTGTAAAGTGTTCTATTATCTAAATCTGAGTGTATAGTTTGAAAAGTTAATTCCCTGATAAGAAAACTGAATGTTAATGCCCAGTGAGTTTTAATTTTATAAAAAATTTGATAAAAAGACTAATATGTAGACCACTAATGTAGGCTAGGTGATAATTATAGATTCTAATAGATTCATGATGAATGTGAAAGAATTGTTGGCCAATCAGGCGTGAAATTAGGCATCATATTCTTGTTTAAACAACTGAGCCTCCAAGCCAGCGAATACTCTGCAATGGAAGCGCCATGTATGGTGATCTGAAACCAGCCACTCGACTGTATGTTTACCCCTGCGGATCTGTGATCTGTGATCCATATTTGGAGGCGTCGATCCACGAACGAACTTGAACTTCCGCTTTGGTCCGCTGACTATTTTGGTTATGCAATGGGCTGGGGGAATGGCTTTTGTAAGTGGACTGACTGTGGGGTAATGAGTGTGGGATGGTGGTGGCATTAGAACCCCATAAACGATTTTTAATCAGCCCTCTCTCTCTCTTTACAATCATTTTTGGCTAATCCTCCATTGACTTGTCCATTGCAGATCGAAAAGAATTCAAAACTGACTGACAATTATATATAATGATCGTGGGAGTTGGTGCCTGGCAGTAAACCATCAACACCCAAGCAGTCAGCGTTATATAACATTAATTGAAAGGTAAGGAAAGGATCAGTATCAGGATCAGGATCAAGATCGGTATCGGTATCGGGATAAGGAAACCCAAGATCGATGCAAGATGGCGCGACACATAATGGCCGTTTGTGTGGTGTGCCTGTTGTGTGCACACCGACTGCACTGTCAGGATCACATCGATAATATCCTGGGCTCGGTGGCCTACACGAGTCAGGAGCAGCTCAATGCCCGCGTCTACCCGAACCTCCAGTTCAATCCCTCCATTGAAACCACCGATCGGCGGCAGCAGCGCTCCGCTTCTGGCGACGACGACACCCCCAACTACAGCACCAGCCCGCCCTCGAGGAGACACAAGCGTCACGCTGGCCACGATCATGGTCATGGTCATGCAGCAGCCGATTCTCATGTCCCGCAGATCACCCAGTACTATCTTGAGAAGTTGATGGGCCAAAAGGAGGCTATGCACACCAGCGGGTTTGAGGATTTCCTCCAAGAACTCAACCTCCGCGAGATGCCGAGTACAGCCAGTGAAGGAACCGTAAGATATCTGGCCCTTAAATCCCTAAATCCTTTAATCCTCAAACCTTTCGTTTGTAGTGCGTGCCTGCCAGTCGTCTGGTGCATCATGTACAGCCCCACAATCACCATCACCACCATCACGAGGAGGAGGAGGAGCAGGTGCAGTTGAAGAACTGCACCCTGAACAGCAATGACACCAACTCCAGCATCGTATGCGCTCCCCTGCATCACAACCACACCCACACGAGCGAGGAAAGCGGGAACTTTACGCTCAGCGAAAAGGACATCCTCTACCTGTGTCCCGTGCTCCTCCACGAGCTGAAAGCCCAAAGCGGAGGATGCATAAACCCGTCCGTTCTCTCCGACATCGATAGCACGGAACAGCTATTGGAGACTGAGAAGGAGAGGGACTTCCTCTACGGTAAGTGGAAGCAGCTTACTCCCTTTCGGAGAAACACTAATGTTTCTTTATTTTCAGTGTGGGTTTATGCTTTCATTTCGGTGTTCGCCTGCGGTCTTCTGGGTCTCGTCGGAGTGGCCATAATTCCGTTCATGGGCTCGCGGTACTACAAGTACATCATCCAGTATCTGGTTGCGCTTGCCGTTGGCACGATGACCGGTGATGCCCTTCTGCATCTGTTGCCCCATGTAAGTGACGCTTTATATCTTCAAAAACCTTCACTAAGGCTTTATCTATTGATTCTTTAGTCTCTTGCTGGCCAGGATGAGCGGGGCATGATCATGAAGGGACTGGGCTGCTTAGGCGGCATTATCTTCTTCTACGCAACGGAGCATTCGCTTACCATGATCTCCGAGTGGCGCAAGAGTGTGGAGAAGAAGGAAACGAAGAAGCCTTCGCGTGCGAAGGTAATGCGCGATCCAGACTCCTCCGTCAACAACTCGGTGGCAGGGGACAAGATCTGTAAACAGAAGTACAGCTCGTATCCCTACTGCTATGACGAGATCACAATGAACAACAAGCAGAGCGAGTGGATGCACCTGCCGGCTGGAGTGGAGGGTGCTTCCTCGGCGGCGGGCGCTGGCGGCGATGGGGCTCCCAATGGCGTGGGGCATGATCACGATGGCTCCAACGACATGGCCGCCGCTGCCGAATCGCTGCTCTCCACTTTGCACTCGAACTGTGTGGAGATGAACCATCACAACCACAATCACAAGCACAATAGCCACCAGCAGAGCCAGCCGGAGAGCCAGGACAACAACACCATTGTCACGGATCTGGATGGCAATGCGGTGTATGCTTCTAATAATACGAAAGATAAGGATAACCATGTCACCGTCATCCTGAGAGAGCACGAATCTTCCCACCATGGACACAGTCACCGCCACGGGCACGTTCATTCGCCTCCGGAAACCCTAAGTGCCGTGGCCTGGATGATTATCATGGGCGATGGCCTGCACAACTTCACCGACGGCATGGCAATTGGCGCCGCTTTTGCTGAGAATCTTGCCGGTGGCTTCTCTACCTCGTTGGCCGTTTTCTGCCATGAATTGCCGCACGAATTGGGCGACTTTGCCATCCTGATAAAGGCGGGCATGTCGGTGAAGTCGGCCGTCTACTACAACCTGTTGACGGGTGTCCTGAGCTTCATTGGCATGATCTTTGGCATTGCCTTTGGGCAGTCCCAAGACGTCGCCCAGTGGATGTTCGCCGTTGCCGCGGGCCTCTTTATCTACATCGCTCTGGTTGATATGGTAAGTACTACGTCGTGTTCCACTTTTCCAAATCCGATTAGATTCGACACAAGATTAGCTGCAATTGGGAATATAAATTAAATGCAATCACTATGGAGATTGTAAATTCAAATATATAGTGTAATAGGTTTCACCTTATAAGACCTGTTTCTTATCAAACAACTTTGTATTTCAGATGCCCGAGATCTCGGCTTCGCACAAGTCGCTGGGACAGTTTCTGCTTCAAATACTCGGAATGTTGAGCGGCGTGGGAATAATGCTATTGATTGCTCTCTACGAGGGCGATCTGATGAGCGTGTTCGGAACGAGTGGAGGCGGCGGCGGCGGAGGCGGATCATCTTACCAGCATGTGCATTAATTACACAAAACCATAACTTGTAACCAATCGATGCAAATCTTGTAGCGTATTATTTGAACTGCAGCGAAACTTGTGAATGAACTGCATTTTCCGTCAGGCTTAGGACCTTTTTCAATTATTATTATTATTATTTTTTGTATAATTCGGATTAGATTGTTGTTTATACCTCAGCACACACACAGCCGTAGCCGGTTGGCACTTACCCAAAGCATTTGTTATCCAGTTTTTGAAAAACACACAACATAGAACTCTCAATACACACCAAGCCATCAAGAAAACCAAGAAACACAGAACCACAGAAACGCGACACGATTCAGCACCGTTTTCGTTCCTAATTTACTACAGAACTGCGTTCGAATCGTTTTAAAAATACGATTAATTGTAAGATTGTCTTGAAATTGTCTAGGTTATAAAGTGATTATTGATTTTGAATTTAGGAGAGAATCCAACAAATTTCAAATCGAAAAGCAAGCGAAAAGGATTGCTCTAAACATCAGAGAAACAATAACAAATAGTGGAGTGTGGCTGGATATCTGGATTATATACTTATAAGGATATATGGGGATACCCGGCCAGCATCCATCGATTAATGATCTTTATACACTGCAAAAAAAAAACGCATATATATTGTAGAATATATAGTTTTGTATTTTTTAGTCTAGGTGCGCACGTTTACTTTAGCGAGTTTAACATTCTAAACAAGAAATTTAAGGAATGTCCACTGTTATGATTTCTGACAGTACTTAACGACTTGAATGCATATATACAAGTTTATATTTTCTACTTAAGAAAGTAAAGAAGAATGAAACCATTTAGGAAGCCACAAACGAAAACCCATTTAATCTTAATTTATTATCGTATTTGTAGTGAATTAAACATCTAAACAACTTATACATAAATGGCACCCCATGCATCATTTGAACTTTTGTTTAATTATGATTTTGTAATAAAACACAAGTTAAACCACAAGTTTATTTTTTTTTATTTATGATTTAATGGCGCACACAACTAACCATGAAAGTGATTGTGATTCTAATCGAGTAACTACTAAAATTTGTAAAATAGTGCGGCTTGAGGAGGATGAAGGACTATCACTGGAACCGCACTCGAATGCTATATATCTGTCACTTAAACTGAGCAACTAATGTTTTTACACTATATATACGCCACACTATATGCTAAAGAGGCAGTAAAACCTATTGAAAACTAGCTGTAAGCTCTACAACTACGAACAGGAAGTGAACCATTCCAGAGAATACCATTTACAGACACTGTGCTAAAATAATCTTTGGAGGAACGTTGGAGGGAGTACTATAATACTTTGGTGATATCACGCAAAAGGCAATTGAAACGACTAACGAAATAAATTTACAATAAATTAACGTATTAACATGTAACTATGAATGTAAGCTGTGTATGTGTGCACTAGCACAGGCGAATGGCGCGTATTTTGCTATATTTTAGTTTATATTTTGTAAAAGACATAAACACTTTTTAAATTTTCAAAAATAAATGTTTTTTCACCTCAACTTCATAAAGAAGTAGCTATGGTTTGAAATTTGGCGGTCAAAATTTGTGATCTAAAATCTTTTTTCCTCCAGCCCTGGATAAAAGTTTCCTTTATAAACTTAATCAACTTATTATTGAAGAAATGTGTCTTTTTGTGATAATAATAGAAACAAAAATTATTAAATTTTAAGTTTTAATTTAATTTATAAAATTTATTAATATATTTTTAGTACAGCGTTATGGCCATATTTAATACGTTTTCATGCAGAGCTAGTACGGTCACACCGCCACCTGAAAGCCGCTGTCAAACTGTTGTCAAAATAAAACTGTAAGATGCTGCCAACATTTTGCAAATTCCTGGCCGTTTTCTGCATCCTGGCGTGGCAGACTCACGCCACCGGCAACCTAAGCCCCGGAGCGGTCGGAGTCCATCGTCGCTTCGAGTACAAATACTCCTTCAAGCCCCCATACCTGGCCCAGAAAGACGGCACTGTGCCGTTTTGGGAGTACGGTGGAAGTAAGTTGTGTTGCTCCACGTCAGTTGTTTTGGCCCTCTCGCCGCCGCTTGGGGCTGCGCGTGCGAGCGAGATGGCGATACGACTGTACACGCAAGCAATTTGTTTGGTTTTCGGATTTCTTTCGGTTTCGGCTGTGGGGTTTAAATTTAGCATGGATACTTGTTGATATCCCGATCCCATTGCAGATGCCATTGCCAGTTCGGAGAGCGTGCGCGTGGCACCGTCGCTGCGCAGCCAGAAGGGAGCCATCTGGACCAAGTCCCAGACCACCTTTGACTGGTGGGACGTGGAGATCGTCTTCCGAGTGACGGGACGTGGCCGAATCGGTGCCGATGGTCTGGCCTTCTGGTACACCACCGAGAAGGGCGACTACAACGGACCAGTGTTCGGATCTTCGGACCGTTGGAACGGTCTAGCCATCATCTTCGATTCCTTCGACAACGACAACAAGCACAATAACCCGTACATCAGTGCGGTCCTGAACGACGGCACCAAGCAGTACGACCACACCAATGATGGCACCACTCAGCTGCTGAGCGGCTGCCTCCGGGACTTCCGTAACAAGCCCTTCCCCACGCGTGCGCGCATCGAGTACTACAACAACGTGCTCACTGTCCTCATCCACAACGGTATGACCAACAACAACGACGACTACGAGCTGTGCTTGCGCGCTGATAACGTGCAGCTGCCCAAGAACGGTTTCTTTGGTATCTCCGCTGCCACTGGAGGCTTGGCCGATGACCACGATGTGTTCCACTTCCTTACCTCATCCCTGCATGCGGCGGGACAAGTAAACGACGCACAGAAGGTAGAGAATCAGGAGAAACTGACCCAGGAGTACAAGGAGTATCAGGATAAGTTGGAGAAGCAGAAGCAGGAGTACAAGAAAGATCATCCCGACGAGGTGTGTGCAAGCGTGGCAAGCCAGTACCTGATATGGCTTATCTGTCCAGCTGATAGTTATAATCCCCAATGGCCTTGGTACTGGCCGGTGCTACCTTTCTACTGCTATAAACTAATAATCTTTTATTATCCAACCCATAGCACAAGGATGATGAGGACTGGGAGGAATTCTACGAGTCTGAGAATCAACGTGAGCTGCGCCAGATTTGGCAAGGTCAGAGCCAAATCGCCGACCACCTGCGTGAGCTGTCCCGAAAGGTGGACGAGATAATTGGCCGCCAGGAAACCACACTGTCGCTAGTCTCCCGCAACGCTGGCCAAGCCCTGCCCCCTCCAGCTGCTGGTGTAGCCCCGCAACAGGCCTTGCCCACTGGTGCTGTTAGCAGAGCGGATGTGGATCTTCTGCTTACAAATCAAAATGTGCTACTTAGCTCCATCCGGGAGATACGCCAGTTGGTAGGCGATATCAATGTGCGTACTGATAATATTCAAACGAATCAGAAGCACGCGCCCACCGCTCAAATCCAGTCCGGCGGCTATGATGTGCAAACGCTCATCGCCGAGATGCGCGACGGCATGAATCAGGTCAAGCAGGGCATTACCCATGTGGGTCAAAGGTGAGCATGAATATTAAATAGCTCTTGAAAGCTTAGTAATCCTATTTTATTTTCATTTCCATAGACTGGGAGCGCCACAGGGCGCAGCGCAGGTTGCCAATTGCCCCACGGGTAACTGCGTGGGCGTTACATTGTTCCTAAGCGTAACAGTTGTGCAACTGCTGCTAGTATTTATCTACAACATTTTCAAGTAAGCCTCTCAACACCACTCTAATCACCATCTTATCAATAATAAATTAAAAAATACCTTTCACCATTTTAATTGCAGAAACCGCAGCGAAGCCCAGGCGAAAAAGTTCTACTAGGCATTGGAAACGTAACGAAGTACACACAAAAAAACGCCTACACATTCAACACACAAGAGAACACTACAACTACACACCTGAATAGGCAGCAACTGAGTTTAGTTGATATGAAAATACTGAAGACTACAGCGTAGCTTTTTCTACCAATACGCGCAACTGTTTATTTTGATTGATTTACTTTTAAAGATCAGTCGTCAGGGGTATCGAATCGAAATTCAAAATCGTTACCTAATGGAATAATTAAAGAGAACAAGATATTTAAACAATGAATGAGCCTCATGACAATGCCACGCAATACAAAATGAAGAAACCGTCGAAGAAGCCACAAGACAAACTTCCCTTTTAGTAATAGCCTGAAAATCATGTTTTTTTAATTGTTTAGCAAATCAAGTCAAAAGTTTACCATTCTCAACTCTGCATATCATTTCTGTGCAGGCATTTCTATAAAAAAAAAAACAAAAGAAAAGCAACACAAAAAAAAAAATATATATATATCATAAAAATCGTAAAACACATAAAAATGTAAAAGGAAGAATTCCGTAAATTTAGCAAATTTTTGTATAATCTATAAACGTTAGAGTTTGGAAACCAGTCAGCGATATCTTTTTAATTTTCTACCAGGCCGTACCAGGCTCATCAAAACAAGTTTCCAGCTTTCTTTTTTTGTTAATTAGCATGGATGTGAATTATGTAATTATGAATACGATGAAATTTTCTCAATAAGTTTTCGTTTTATACTGAATAATTCTAATATATATACATACTGATAAATTATAAAAGAATTGAAGTGAAGTGTGTGTGTTTTTATATATGTTGTCCATTCCAGTCTCGATAGAATGTTTAAAGAGAAAAAAAATGAAAAATAAAAATCAATTTATAGAAAATCCACGGCCACGGCGGAGACTATTTTATTTTTGCCATCAAACTTTATCACACTATTTTTACTCCCCCGATTGTGAAATTATTTTCGCTGATATTGATAGAGGAAAAAGTTTATTTCTGCGAAAAGCATCCTCGTAAGCATAAACTAGAATCCCTGTCAGATTTCCCAGCCCAGCGATGACAATGCGGCAAAAATGGCGCCACTTGGTCGCCAACTTTGTGCGTGAATCTGACGGGGCTTGGGAGCTAGGAGCCGGAATGGGTTGGGTGGACGGGTGAACTTTGGCCATAAAATGTAACTGCCATTGGTGGCATTGTGGGCCAGTTCACTGTGGTTTGGGCCCCTTCCCTATCCACTGGAGCCGCAAAAAAAATCCCAGGAAAACCCAGCCAAAGATAAATGGACAGAAGCCAACAGCAGTCGCGGGTCATGTTATAAATTCTCCCCAGGATCAGGGGCATGGGCTCTAGGTGGGGTTTTTTCGTGTTCCAGCTCGAGTGTCTGGTTGGATGAAAGTTGCCGGGCGAGTAGCCCGCCGCTTATGTAGTCCCTGCCTTATGTACTGCCACTGCGCAGGAGCAGGACCAGTTTGATGGTAGGAGGTGGTGGCTAGAGTGGGGGCCTGAAGGACTATTAACTTTTTATAACAGCCAATCGGCATGCGGCTAGCAAACAGAGAAAATGGTTCCACTCCATGGGGACTTTCCCAGCGGGTAGGGCATCGCTACACTGAAACAAAAGGCAGTCTAGGATAATAGTCAAAGTTAGTCCTATCTTGAGAGGTTATCTTAGTCTTTTGTTTCGTTGTGGACTTATCAGAAAGTATAAATAAGGGTAAGTCTTAGAAATCTAATTTAATCTAATCTGTCAAATTGTATAAGGATCGACTATAGGTTGACTATATCCTAAAGCTCCTATAAAGCTCTACGATCGGAAATGCTATAACTTTCATAATATTACAGATACAAGCTTGGAACTTTTTCTAAATTCACATTATACCGAACTGGTCTGATACCTAAATTCCAAAAAGGTTTGTAAGGATCAACAATATCCGATATTTAAGTAAATGTTATACCTATATCCTTACTTCCTTACTTATCCCTTATTAACTTAACTTCTAAAGGAGATAAGGAACTTAACTTCTATAATTTCTAAAGGAAAAAAGAAACTAAAACTCATCTTTCCATTGCCTACTTTTAAGAGATGCTAGAATTCAAATAATAATTAGTAACATTAAACTATATCCTTATATATAATCCTCGCTGAAAATATATTAGTTATATTTCGGCAGATCCTTGCTTAAAATATGAATTATCAACATGATAATATGTGATTTTCTAAACTGAAAATTACTTAGTTTCAGGAAAAAAGTTTTATAGAAACCTTCAAAATCCAACATAGCAAAAATGGTGAATACAAATTTTCAATTTATTAAAAAAAATTGAAAAAAATCTTCCTTAGAGACTATAAACCTTACTATGATAACTCCAAGTCTTAAACAAATCTTTCCAATCCATTTAACCAAGTAGACCACTTTAAAACGTTTGCCTATAACTTTAATAATCCATATTGCATATTTACACATCTGTGGATTTTCGGAGTTGGCCACAATCCATTAGTAAATGAAAATCATAAATTTCCCCGCCCACATTTCCACTTCCCAGTACCATGTTCCCATTTCAATCCGCAAACCAACGACAGCAAGGATGACAGTTTGCTACATTTGCCAAACATTGGCGAAAAAAAGGGGATATAAAATCAAAGTCAAAGTTGTTACCATATAACGGGGTGGATCTGGTGGGATACGGGTTCATGTTGCTGTGGCTGCTGACAAATCCTTCGCACATATCCTGGCTATATCCTCGCCCGATTATAAGGAGCAATAGCAACGGCAGCGTGACAAATGTTGCGCAAACAAATGGATTACATTGCAATGGGCCATCCGCGATGCGATGAATCATAAATTTCCTTAACTGTCATCCGATCTGGCCAAATTTCTGCTTCTTCGCCATCCTGACGAAAGCAAACTAGCCGACACAGGATTAGGAAACTTTCTGGCTAATCAGAAAATTCAATTTTACTTTGTAATTTGCTAATGACCCGGAGAAGATTAAGTTAGATATTAAAGGCTTATCTTTGTACAATTATTTTTTTTATTTTGAGGGATAGTTTATGCAAAGCTTTTAGTTTTTATATAAAAATTGTTTTTGAAATTTTATACTGTTTGAAAATGCATATTACATTTATAAAAGTTCGTTACAAATCTATTTTCTGGGTCTAATATTATGAAATTTATGAAAGACACAATTATATTGATCACGGCCTTGGAAATATCTTAAGGGTCCTTTAATATTTAAAGCTGTGAAATAAATCTTCAAATCATTACATTTTTATAAATAGAGATATTCATACATACATATGTAATATATTGTTTGAATAATTTAGAAAAGCAATTTAAGCCCTTCTATATACATAATCTACAAAAAAAAACGTATCCCTTTCTTAAAACAAAATATAAATATTCCAAAACTAATACCCTAACTGGACCTTAAATCATTAAAAAATAATTTATTTCATCTGGTAGAAAAAGAATTTAAAACTACCCAAGTAAACCCCCTCTAGTTTCACCAGGACAATGGAATAACTATTCATCAGGATGCTGGGATGCATAATGTTTGTGCAACTGCTTTACTTTCTTGATGCCATTAAGTTGCGGATAGGGCCCATGACAAAGGACAGTCCATTAGACACAAGTCACAATGCCATTGAAGCGAGATGGGATCCTTGCGAAAGTGCCCACCCCATTGTATGGCCTGCATCCTGCATCCGGACCGACTGCACCCTTTGTGATTCCTTCTTTGCGAGAAACCAGAACAAAAGTCGGGGCCTGGATAATATTTTGCGCTTTTTGGTATGACGAATCCACATGTCACACACGAATCGAATTGGCAATACATGCCAATGCCCCCCATCCCCTCGAGCCCGGAGTCCGGAGTCAGAATCCGAGTCCGGACTTACCCCCTGCCCCTCATCCGTTTAGCGGGCAATCAAGCGTGTAGGGCAATTCAATAAACCGGAGGATGGGGTGCCACAACTTTTGGAGAACTTTATCAACACCCATGTCGGCATTAGTTTTGTTTACAAACTTTTGCGTTGCCTTTTTGACAGTTTCGGCCATGGGGTGGGTTTTCCCATATCCTGCCCCATCCTCCATCCACCCGGGGGTGGATTTTTGCGGGGATTTTTATTTATGAGCACTTAAATCGAAGCGCAAACTGAAATTGCACATTGCACAGTACATCTACATAAATATGCAATTGCGGGCATGTGAGAAAGTAGTTGCCCCCGCTGATAAATGATGAAAAAATTATAAATAAATACGGGATAGATTTCTCCTCCATCCCAGCCTCTTGTTTTCGTGTTGTTCTTTTTTTTTTATATTTGGCCCATCCCTCATGTTGGTGTCACCCCATCACGGTCCTTAGATGACAGCTCCCGATAATGGTGACATCAATTTGAAACCCAATTGAGCTTGTTCCTCGTCGGTCTGGATGCGAGCTCCTTGATAAATGCTTCGCTATCAGCGCCGTTTATCGCCGGGAGTCTCTGACTGGGTGCGACAAGTCAGCGAATTGGAAACGGAATTGGACAGCCAACCCCCACGGGTAATGGGTTCTCCGAGCCACCATGCCATGTCAAGCTCATCCTCCAGTTCATCCTGGACCTCATCTCTGGGGCGTTGCTAGCAGTTTACATGTTTAATGTTTGCTTAATTGTTGGATCAGCCAGCGGGGCAGATCCTTTGGCCAGGATAAGAAATTGTTTTCTAAATCGTTACATGTCAGCAGATTTTATTTTTTTTGTCAGAAAAAAATTAAGAGAAGAGGATTAATTATAGAAGAAAGACCTTTAAAAGTGTGTAAACTACAAATTAAAGTAAATAATATATCCTTTATATCCATAATTTAATTAAAAACTATAAAGATACTTTAGATCCCAAAAATAAACATTAATGTCTTCGTGTTGGGTTATAAAAATCCAATATCGATTGAAATTAAAGACAGGCAATAAACAGGTTAATGTCTAAGAGCCGGATATATCAATAAAAGGCCAACTGCAATGAAAATTTAAAGGCACGATCCCCTCCACATGCCCGTCTGCACTTGACACCCTTGACTCTGAACTTGGCTATTGGGAATCTCGACACAACCTCAACATGTCCATTAGGCCATGTCGGTGCATGGCATCTCCAGGATAAATAGACTGTTGAGTCATTAAACAATTTACGCAGCCATAAATTTACGCAATTTACTTAGCACACACATCCCGTAGAATGCAAAATGTCCTGGACAGGGTAATAAAAAATACCACCCGGTTTTTGGGCCCTGGGATCGAGAAACATTAACACATCTGGCCAGATACAAAGTGCGGACGGAGGCTGGGCTGGGCCGTCCGCCTGAGCGATTAACTTTTTGCATCCTTCACGCTTCGCTGGTTGAGTTAACCCAGCAACATAATCGCCATGGTCATATCCTGGAGCAAGGACATCGCCCACGCGACGCTTGTTTTGCATTTTTATTGCCCCATGCTGGGGATGCAGGATGTAGATTTTCAAGATTGCCGCCGCCGCCGCCGCTGCTGCCCTGCCTCAAAATTTTAATGAAATCGTCATCAATTAAAATTTGCTCTCTTCCATGACCATGCCCTCCTGCAGCCTCCATTATCCAGACGACAGTGACAATGAAAACGACAATGACACGGCACAAGAGACACCCCCACTCCCCAAATGAGCACTGAAAATAATTCTATTAAGAACTTAAGAAATTGCTAAAAAATCACAATTAAATGATATTTAATTTTTAATAAATAACAAGGATAAAATTATGAAAAATTCTCAAAATTCCTCAAG